CCTCAACCTCCTGAGTGGCTGGGATTATAGGTGTGCACCATAGTGCACAGGTGCATTTTTTTTTTTTTTGCTTGTTTTTTTTTTGACAGGTTCTCACTATTTTCCCCAGGCTGGCCTCTGACTCAAGCAATCCTCCTGTGTGAGCCTCCTGAGTAGCTGGAACTGCAAGCATGTACCACCATGCTCAGCTTCTAAATTAAGGATATCAAAATGGGTATAAATCCTAATTGCAATCACAAGTGTTCTTTTTTTAAATTTATTTTTTAGTTTTTGGTGGGCACAACATCTTTATTTTATTTTTATGTGGTGCTGAGGATCGAACCTAGCGCCCCACACATGCCAGGCGAGCGAGCGCATTACCGCTTGAGCCATATCCCCAGCCCCACAAGTGTTCTATAGAAGGTAGGAAGAAGCAGATTTTACTGACAGAAAATAAAGCAATGTGACCATCAAGGCAGATTATGGTTATGTGGCCACAAGCCAAGGAATGCTAGCAGCTACCAGAAACTGCAAGAGGCAAAAAACAGATTGTCCCCTAGGACCTCCAGAGAGAGTACATCTCTGGTGACACCTTAATTGTAGTCCTAGTTAAATTGATTTGGAACTTTCCCAGAACTGTAAAAGAATAAACTTCTCTTGTTTAAAGCCACCAAGTTTGTGGTAATTAGCTATAGCAGAACCATTGGAAAGTATTTGGGTACAACTAAAGCCATCGAAGGGATGTGAGGTCAATGGAGGGTGGTTTGGAGTTTAGTTGGGAGGCTGTGGGAAGGTAAATTGTGAATGTTTACAGGTAGCATTGGGGGCCATGGGAGGGCAGTTTAGGGTGTGGTTGGGAATTCTTGGAGGGTGATTTAAGTGTTATGGTTGGGAAAAACTGGAAGATAAAGTTCTATAGGTATAGTTCCATGTATTTTTTTTTTTTTTTTTGGTGCCAGGGATTAAACCTAGAGTGCTTAACCACTCTGCCACATCCCTAGTTATTTTCATTTACTTCCTTATTTATTTATTTATTTAGTTTTGGTACCAAGGATTGAAACCAGGGGCGCTTTACTACTGAGCTACATCCCCAGCCCTTTTTAGTTTTCATTTGGGGACAGGGTCTTGCTGAGTTGCTTAGGGCCTCTCTAAGTTGCTGAGGTTGGCCCCAAACTTGTGATCCTCCTGACTCAGCCTCCTGATCCTCTGGGATTACAGATGTTCACCACTGCACCTGGGCCCAAACTACTGTTTAATGACTTTCATACCCAACCTTATCTTAAATCATGTGGAACTGCTGGGTGTGATAGTGCAGGCCTGTAATCCCAATGATTTAAGAGGCTGAGGCAGGAGGATCGCAAGATTGAAGTCAGCCTCAGCAATTTAGTGAGATCCTGTTTCAAAATAAAAAAATAAAAAGAGCTGAAGAATGTGGCTCAGTGGCAAAGCATCCCTGGATTCAATCCCTGGTACAAAACAAGTGGTTTTGGGGTACAGTTCTGGGACCAAGGAAATGTAGTTAGGAGAAACAGAGTTGGGGGCTGTTGGAAGGCAAATTTTGGCAGTGAGACTTGTAATTATTGGACAGTAGTTTGGGGTTAGGGTTGGGTATCATTGAAAAGATACTTTTGGGATACACTTGGCAGTTTGTGTGTGTGTGTGGGGTTACTGGGGATTCAATCCATGGATGCTACCACTGAGCTACATCCCTATCCATTATTTTTGGCGGTGTAGGGATTGAATTCAGGGCCTTGTGCATGCAAGGCAAACACTACCAACTGAGCTATATCCCAGCCCCTCAATTTTTCATTTTTCATTTTGAGATAGACTCATTAAGGTTGCCAAGGCTGGCCTTGAACTTGTGATCCTGCTGCCTCAGTTTCACAAGTAGCTAGAATTACAGGCATGTGCCACCACACCCAGTGAGGTTTTTTTTTCCCCTAAGAGCAAGGGTCTCACTATGTTGTCCAAACTAGCCCCTGAGTCCCTGTGTTCAAGCTATCCTCCTATCTCAGCCTTCTGAATAGCTGGGACTACAGGTGTGTGATACTACTCTGCTTTCTCAGGAGTTGATATAGGGCAGTTTGAGGGTATAGTAGAAGCTGTTAAAAGGGTTTTGGGGTATAAAAATAAGGCCGTGAAAGGGTAGTTTAGTGATGATTGAGGATCAGTGGAGTGGTTTAGGGATGATGTGGGGTATTGTCTGGGTGCTTATGTGTGTGTGTGTGTGTGTGTGTGTGTGTGTGTGTGGTGCTGGGGATTGAACCCAGGGCCTTAGTGCATGTGAGGCAAGTACTCTTCCAACTGAGCTATATCCCCAGCCCTTGGGAGGAGCCTATTTTGAAGTCTGGATTTCAGGAGCTATTGTAAATTGTAGTTAGGGAGCTATTTTTTTTTTTAATTTTTTTTTAAGGAGAGAGAGAGAGAGAGAGAGAGAGAGAATTTATTTTTAATATTTATTTTTTAGTTCTCGGCAGACACAACATCTTTTGTTTGTATGTGGTGCTGAGGATCGAACCTGGGCCGCACGCATGCCAGGCGAGCGCGCTACCGCTTGAGCCATATCCCCAGCCCTAGTTAGGGAGCTATTAGTGGGTGATTTGGGGAACAGTTGAAAGATGATTGGATAAGCCAGGTGTGGTGGTGCATGCTTGTAATCCCAGTGACTTGGGAAGTTGAGGAAGGAGGATCACAAGTTTGAGGCCAGCCGGGGGCAAATTAGTGAGACCCTGTCTCAAGGAAACAAAATAAAACAAAAAAGTGTTGGGGATGTAGCTCAGAGGTAAAGCACCCCTGGGTTCAATCCTAAGTACCTCAAATAAAAATACAAAGAAGATAAAATGTCATTGGATATTCAACTATTCAGAAATAAAATGAGCAAACTCCTGATACATGATGCATGTTATGACATAGATAAACCTCAAAAAACTTATGCTGGCCATGCACAGTGGCACATACCTGTAATCCTACCTACTCTGTAGGCTGAGGTAGAAGGATTACAAGTTTAAGGTCAGTTGCAGCAAATTAGTGGAAACCCTGGCTAAAATTAAAATACAAATGGTTCTGGATGTAGCTTAGGGGTAGAACACTTGCCTAGCATGCACAAAGCCTTGGGATCAATTCCCACTAGTGCCAAAACAAAGTTATGCTAAGTGAAAGATGCCAAGTCCAAAAAAATCCTCATGTTGCATTCATATGAAATGTCCAGCACAGGCAAATCTATAGAGACAGAAAGTAGATTAGTAGTTGCCTAGATCATGGGAATGTTAATGGGGATACATCGTATTCACACAAAGAATCTTATTGAGATAATATAGATGCTATAAAACTGGGTTATGGTGATTGGTGCATATCTTGGTAAACTTTCTAAAATCATTGAGAACTTTTAAAAGTGAATGACATTTATGGATTGTTAATTATATCTCAATTAAATGTTTTTAAGAATGATCATTGGGCTAGGCGTGGTAGTGCACGCCTGTAATCCCAGAGGGTCAGGAGGCTGAGACAGGAGGATCGCGAGTTCAAAGCCAGCCACAGCAATTTGGTGAAGCTCTAAGCAACTCAGTGAAACATTGTCTCTAAATAAAATACCAAAGAGGGCTGGGGATGTGGTTCAGTGGTTGAGTGCCCCTGAGTTTAATCCCTGGTACCCCTACCCCCTAAAAAAGAATGATCATTGAAAAATGCTTTGTAATTTGGTTCCCTAATGTAGTATTTGGTGTGCAAATGGAGTCATTGGAGGGTTTGAGGGACATGTTTTGGGTCACTGGAGTATGATTTGGGGGATCCCTAAAGCAAGATGGTTGTTGGTTATTGGGAGGACTAGTTGAGGACTGTTGAAGAGTGGTTTGGTGATGCAGTCTGAGTCACTGGACTGTGGTTTAAAAGTGCAGAAGTGCAGCTAGAAAACCACACAAAGTATATTTGGGAGTATTTGGGATATTGGTAGGGGCTATTGGAAGGTAATTTTGTGGAAAAAGGAAGGGAGGTCAATTGAATGTATTTTGTTGGGGAGTGTGTATGGAGCTTGGTTTGGAGGTAGAACATGATATGTTTGGAATTGATTTGAAGTGCAGGTGAGGCCCATGTCAAGTGTAATTGGCAATGTTTGGGGTGGTGATGGGGGCTCTTGGAAAGCACTTTGGGGATTGATAGAGTATGGTGGAGAGCACATGGACAGCAATCTGGGGTCAAATGAGGGTGTTTTGGATACATACTAGAAGGTGATTCAGAAGTAATGTTTGGGGCTGGGAATGTAGCTCAGTGGTAGTTTGCATTCCAGAGGCCCTGGGTTCCATTCACAGCACTGCAAAAAAAATGCTGTTTGGAAGCTAGTAGTTTTGGGGCTGATTGCAGTTAGTTTGGGGGGAACAACTTGCAGGTACTGGAGGGTAGTTTATTGGTACAGTTTGAGTATCCACGGAAAGGTGGATTGGAGGTACTGCTTGAGATCAACAGAAGTAGCTTGCAGATACAATTTAGAGAACTGTGGAAGGTGGTTTGAAAGTTGAAATTAAGAGGTAAATAGAGTGATTGGGGAATTGGGTCCCTTGGGAGGGATCTATGAGTAATTTTTTGATGCAATTTTGATATCCATGGAGAGTAATTTAGAGTTATACCTTGGAGTCAACATAGTGTGCTTTGGATACAGCTCAAAGGTCCTTAGAGTGGTTTATTGGTGCAGTTTGGGTGTTCATGAAAGGTGGAATGGAGAGACTGCTTGGGATTAATATTACTTTGGGGATATAATTTGGTGGATGATGAAGGGTGGTTTGGGGTGAATTTGGGGAAAGGCACAGAAGGTCGATGGGGAGTTTAGAGGTGTATTGATGGCTTACAGAAAGCAGTTTGGGGTACTGCTTGGGGATCTGTGAAAGGAGACTAGTGGTGAGGGGCGCCAGTCTGCTTACTGAAGGGGCGTGGCCTGGGCAGGGGCGGGCACTGCTGCCCTAGAGAAAGCGTGTGCGCACGCGCTCCCAGTTTGTTCGCTCCTGGCGCTCCCAGGGCAGGAAAATCGAAGACCCGAGCTGGCGCCTGCGCACTTCGTCTCCGCCGCTGCTGTGGTCTCGCGCCCCACTCCCCAGTTTCCCCCAGGCTCGCGCTCAGCAGCGGAGGTGGCGGTGCTGCCGGGAGCGGATGCACCGAGTTAAAGGTGGGGGTTGGGGGTCCACAGCCTGCAGAGGGGCCAGCACACCTTTCCCATCCTCGGGGCGCCCCCCATCTTGCCCCCACGGCTAACGGTCGCGGGGCCGAATGCGGCCCACCAGAAGGGCGCGGAAGGGGTGTAGGCGCGTGTCCAGGGACTAGCAGGGCTCAGCGAGGGAGGGGCGCGCCCACTATCCCTGCTGGCCTACACCGACCCCGCCTACACCGCGGTGCAAGGACCATAGGTGAGTAACAACCCCCTCTAGGGGAAGAAGGGAGGGGACAGGGTGGGGTGATGGCCTGGAAACGCAGACAAGAATGTACCTGCGTGTACACTCACGACCTCTGACCTTATGATATCACCCCTGACCCCTGTCTGACCTCTTTTTTCAACCCCGGACCCCTGCCAACCTTGGTCTTAGGACCTTCAGTTAGATCCCTGACCTAATCATATTCTGGCCTGCTGTGATCCTTAACCCTTGCTTTGTCCCCCCCTTAATCCAGTATCACCCCCAAACCCTTGCAGATTTTTCCTCAGGATCCTTGGTCTGACCCTAGGTCCTTGTCTGACCATGTCCTGTATCTCATCTTGCCCTGTCTTGATGCCCAGCTGACCCTAGTTTATGTCTGGTTGCTTGGATCTCTGTGTTCCCAAAACGCTTATCAGGTGTCTGAAACTCTAACATTGTGATCTGTCTTCCTAACCCCAATCTGATCCAGTTCTATCCTGATTCCTGGCCCCTTATTTCTGTACTTTCTCCCCACCCCACCCTGTACTATCCCTCTGGTCTGTTTCCCACCTCCTGATCTCCCTCTTGGCCCACCACTTTTAAACATCCCCCTATGTCTCCTACCTGTCCCTGTCCCCAACCCTTTCCTGTTTTACCCTCTTTTTTTTTTTTTTTTTTGGTCCCATCTCTACCTCTTTCCTATCCTCATTCTGTCCTGGTCTTTTCCTGTTCCTGATCTCCCTCATGAACCTGCCCTTTTTTCCCTTTTTTCCCTCCCTTGACAGGCTTAACCCATCCAAGTCATGTCTTCTTGGATGCTGTTCTTCACTGACTTTCATCCTGCCTTGCTGTTTTGTCTTCTTGTACTTTTTCTCTTGTCCTGAACCTCACTCCATCCTCTGGCCAATGTCCTGGCTCATTCCCTGTCCTGCCTCTTTTTTAAAGCAGTACTGGGAATTGAACCCAGTGGTGCTCTACCACTGAACTACATCCTCCAGCCCTTAATTTTTTTATATCTTTATTTTGTTTATTTAGTTTTTGTGGTGCTGGGGATCGAACCCAGTGCCTCACACTTGCTAGGCAAGTGCTCTACCACTGAGCCACCACCCTAGCCCTCCAGCCCTTAATTTTGAAACAGGATCTTACTAAGTTGCCCAGGCTGTCCTTGAACTTGTGATCCTCCTGTCTCTGTCTACTGAGTTGCTGGGCCATTGTGCCTGGCCCCGTTCTGCTTAGTGATCTCTATCCTGTATCTCCTGTACTCCTTCCTTTCCTGTTCTTTTATCCTATTCCCAATCTAACACTACTTTTCTACCCCTTACCATGCCCTTCCATCCTATTCAGGTCTTCCTCCTTTCTAACATCCACTTCCCCTCCCTTCTGAGTCCAGTACATTATACCCTGTCCCTGAACTTGAAGGTTCCATTGTTCCCAGGGTTTTTAAAGTATACTCCAAATGCTGAAGAGCAAGCAGTACTGTGAGCTCTGTGTGGTTGATGGGATTTTTGTATGTGATCTCTCCCTCCCTCATCTCCTCTCCAGTGATCTCCAATAGAGCTTGCATTTCTCTTCCTGCAGGAGGGCATGGAAATCTTCCTATGTCCCCTGCCCTCCCTAAGTGTGAAAAACACCCTAAATTATTCAGTGACTCTCTGGGAGTCAAGAGGTGCAGGTCAGGTTTCCAGCCTTACTATGTCCAGGGCTGTCACTAGTTGGGGGGAGGCAGGGAGATTGAGAACATATGTGGGGTAGGGGCTTAGAGTATGTATGAATCTTCTAGGTCACATTACCCCCCTTTCCTGATTTTTTTGGAGGGGGTACCAGAGATTGAACTCAGGGGTACCCAACCTCTGAGCCACATCCTCAGCCCTCTTTTGTATTTTATTTAGAGACAGGGTCTTACTGAGTTGTTTAGTGCCTCGCTTTTGCTGAGGCTGGCTTTGAACTCGTGATCATCTTGTCTCAGCCTCCTGAGCTACTGGGATTACAGGCATGTGCTACTACACCTGGCCCCTTCCCTGTTCTTGATCCTGGGTGTGTAATCCCTGCTTTTCTGGCTGGAGAAAAGTCTATTGTAGGTCAGAGGCTTGGTGGGGGTAGGTTGGAGGTTGGGGTTTATACACTTCTCTCCTGGTGGTAAACAATAAAAATTTGGGTGCTAAGTCCATCCCACCTCTGTGGGACCTGTGTGTGTGTGTGTGTGTGTGTGTGCACGCTTTGGGGGTAGGGGGAATGCAGGCTGTCACTGGATGTTAGAATCAGGCCCATCTAAGTGGGTGTGGTTGCACACACCTGTAATCCCAACTATTCAGGAGGCTGAGGCAGGAGAATCACTTGAGCCAAGGAGTTTGTAGCCAGCTGGGCAACACAGCATGATAGTCTCAAAAAAAGTATTTTTAGTTGTTCCAAAGGAAATGAAATATTTAGGTCTATACTTAAAAAATATTTACAGAATCTGTTTGCTTGAAAATTATGAAGTGGTAAGACAATAAGCTAAGGAAGGCTTTAAAAGAGTCAATAGATTGGATCCCTCAACATAGAAAAGCTATCAATTTACAGGTTTAATAATTTTTTTTGATACCAGGGATTGAACTCAGGGGCACTCGAACACTGAGCCACATCCCCAGCCTTATTTTTGTAATTATAATTTAGAGACAGGGTCTCACTGAGTTGCTTAGCACCTTGTGGTTGCTGAAGCTTGTTTTGAACTCGCAATCCTCCTGTCTCAGCCTCCCGAGATGCTGGGATTATAGGCGTGCACCACTGCACCCAGTTTACAGGTTTAATAAATTTTTGTTAAAGTCCTAAAAAAAACAAAACAGAAAAAGAATCAGGCCATCCAGTAGTAACAATTACAACAATAACGTGAGATTCCTTTGCTATGTGAATATTCTTGATTTTAAGGATGCATAGGGTGAATAGTGAGATGGTAATGTGTTATTCACTTATTCCTGCATTTCTTATAGAGTAGTGAATTTGAATGATGAATATCAGACCCATCTTATTTATTCAAGACATTTCTCCAAATCTGTCAATAACAATTAGTTGTTCTTCACTGTCCCAATCTATTTAGTGTCTGAGTTCTGAGTCAGGAAGATTTCTTGGAGTTCAGACAGTGAAACCTAACTGAAGGTACTTTGTGGTCCCATCTTACATAGTGAGAAGTGAAAGTTCAGATAATCAGGGATAATGACTCCGACTCAAAAGTTATTCAGGAAGGGCATGGTGGTGCACGCCTGTAGTCCCAATAGCTTAGGAGGCTGAGGCAAGAGGATCACAAGTTCAGAGCCAGCCTCAACAATTTAGTGAGGTCCTCTGCAACTTAGCAAGAGCCTATCTCAAAATAAAATATATAAAAAGGGCTAGGGATGTGGCTCAGTGGTTAAGTGCCCCTTAAGTGGGTTCAATCCCCAGTATCAAAAAAAAAAAAAAAAATCCAGGGGCTGAGGATATGGGTTTGTGGTAGAGTGTTTGCCTAGCATGCACAAGACACTGGGTTCTGTCCCCAGCACAGTTTAAAAAATTTCAGTTCCTATATTTGATAGTGAGAGTTCCAACAATTTATCTGAATGTATTTGGTTTCTGCATTTTTACTTTGGTACCTGGGATTGAACCTAGGGATGTTCTACCATTGAATTATACCCCCAGCTCTTTTTTTTAAATTTTGAAACAGGGTCTTGCTAAGTTGCCCAGAGTGGCCTTGAATTCCTCAGCCTGGAATTATAGGTGTGCCCCATGGCGTCCTTGTTTCCTGAATTTTTAATTTTTAATGTTGAGTTGAGGGAGAGGTTGGAGATTAGGGAAAACAGCTCTGTTTCAAAAAATGTCTGGTTTGGCAAGTAGGGAGGGTTTGGAGGCTGAGGGATACTAGCTCTCTTTGAAATGCATCTGAATATATTTATATCCTGATTTTGGATAGTGAGAGTTCAGACAGCTTATCAGAGAGAAAATAGGTCTGTTTCAAATTTATCCAGTGAGGTTGAGAGACACCGGCTGCATCTCAAAAAACAAAACAAAACAACAACAACAAAAAAACCCTACAACCCAGTCCAGATATATCTGTTTGATTCCTGAGTTCTTTGGGGAGGAATACTTGTGATTATGACAGCCATCATAACTGAGCACTTATGGTAGTCTATTAACTGATTTAATGCTCACAACAGCTCTGTGTGCACTACATACTGTTCTCATCATCCCCATTTAACAAATGAGAACATTGAGGCACAGAGACATTAAGTGAGTTGTCTAAGCCGGCATACAACAGTAAATGACAGAGCTGGGTCAAATCCCACATCTACAACTTATTAGCTGTGTAGTATCCATGGGAGACTCAGGACCCACTGGAGTAGGGCTGAGAGTTTGGGCCATCTTCCAGGCTGTTAAAAATCATCAGAGCGGGGCTGGGGTTGTGGCTCATGGTAGAGTGCTTGCCTAGCATGTATGAGGCACTGGGTTGGATTCTCAGCACCACACATAAGTAAATGAATAAAATAAAGGTCCATTGATATCTAAAAAAATTTTTTTTTAAATCATCAGAGCAATGATATGTGTGGGTGACTCTGCCCTACTTGTCTAAATGGCCAAGGAGGTCCAGCTACCTACTCCTCTCCACTTCCCTGCACCCCAATCCATCAATGGATGAGTTTATTATTGTTATTACCAGTCATTAATGATGTGGTGAGTTTCCTTGCACTTTGAAATACCTTCCAGAGTTCCTTTGGCCTTTATTATCTTTATACTCACCTTTTACCCATTTTATAGATGAGGGAACCTAAGCCTTGAGATTCAATCTGCATTGCCAGCCTCAGTCTCTTGTCCCTGTTGGCTCTGATTTTATATACATCTCACTTCCTACCGTCCTAACGTTCTTGGTGGCCCGCAAGAGGTGGCAGAGGCCATGGCCAAGAAAACACTCCCCACTAACACCCAGCTAGTTGCCCACCTTTCTGTTGTCCGCCTCCACCAGCTCTGGGCAGAGAAGGAGGGAAGAAGGGGGAGGTAATGAAAGGGGCCTTTGTGTGCCACACCAGAAATCTCACACCCAGGAAGAAAGGTGGGCAGGGATGGCAGGAGGCCTTAATAGCATGTGACAAAGGGAACTCTCTTGCTTGGCACACCTGCCAAAATAGGGAGAGAGCATTCCTCACACTCTGCTCTTTCATGTTGTAGCAGGGCTGCTGCAGGGACCTGGGTTAGGTTTGGGCCTTGAGGTCACAGAGCAGACGGTCCCATATGGAGCACAGGATGTGTGGTGTGCGCTGGGACAGGCCCAGAGCCCATGTGGTGTTGTCCTTACATTGTAGGGACTTGGAACCCTCAATTTCCTTGTCTGGCATGAAGCCTGACTCCTGTCCAGAAATGGCAAGGGGAAGAAATGAAGGAGACCCAGCAAGGATGTGAAGAAGCCTGAACCTCCTTCCTACTCCTCCTCCTTCAGGAGCAACCTCTGCCTGCCTTCAGACCCAAGATTCTGATTCTACCTGCTTTTTTTGGTGGGGGAGGTGAATACTAGGGATTTAATCCAGGGGTGATTTACCACTGAGCTATATCCCTGGCCATTTTTTGTTAAATATTTTTAAAATATATTTTTAGTAGTAGATGAACACAATACCTTTATTTTATTTATTTATTCTTATGTGGTGCTGAGGATCCAACCCAGTGCCTCACATGTGCTAGGTAAGCACACTACCACTGAGCCACAACTCCAGCCCCGCCCCAGCCCTTTTTTCTTTTTTTATTTTGAGACAAGGTCTCACTAAGTTTCTGAGGCTGGCCTTGAATTTATGATTCTCCTGTCTGAGCCTCCGGCACTGCTGGGATTACAGGCAAAGGTCCCCTCCCCCACTCCACCTGCTCTTGTGGGTAGTGATCTGTATCAAGCCTCTTCACTTCTCTGAGCTTCAGCTTCCACATAAGTACAATGGCTCTGAGAAGGTAGGCCTATTACATTCTTCCATGTTTGTAGGACATAAATTATTGTGGTTGGTTTACTAGGATTACTTCTTCTGGACCTGTGGAAGGCTGTAGGGTCTTGAGATCTGGCCTCTTAGAAAGGTTGACTTCCTCTGTCCCCAACTTGGAAATTTACCCCAATGAATTACTCCAAGGACTTCTCCCACTCCACCTTGCCCTAGGAGGAAGGGCAGGGGCCTTGGGAATGTGATACATACTCCTAAGAGACACAAATTTGGTGTAACACCTGAGCCTCCAATCTGTTTTACAGTTCCCCAGTCCTCTGGTCCCCCAACCCCAAGGCGCTACCGTCAGCAGGCAGGCTCTAGTCCTCTGGAAATCTGGGCAGCATGAGAGGCAGTGTGTATTCCAAGACTCTTAGCTCTTCTTTCCCAGGTCTCTACTTAAGTATCTGAGGTGAGGGGGGTATTCCAAATTCTCTACTTGGCCATGCAGGGCACTGTGAAGGGACTAGGCCCTGAGGCTGCCCTCCAGGGATAGCCCTAGCCCTAATGATAGACAGGCAAGGGTTAAAAGGTGTGGGCCGGCCCAGTTCCTGGCCAGGTAGGCTGGGCCATTACCTAGTGGGAGGCAGCCAAGGCATCCGCCACTGTTGCTCACTGCCACTGCCAGCCGAACCAGGGCCTGATTGAGACAACTATTTTTTTTTCTGAGGTACCCGAAGCTACCCCACAGCAATCTCTGACATTGGTGAGCACCTGGGAGTAGTGGGCCCAGGGGTGGGGGGGATGAGAGCATTAGGAACCGGGGTATGGTGTACTAAAGTTCCCTTCAGAAGAGAGCCAGGTCTGTGGGAGAGGTACACCAACAATGTGGGGTGGGGCTGGGGGGGTGTTCAGCACAGAAGGAGGGCCTGAGAATCACAAAATGTCCTACTTCCTTTCCTGGGACAAAGTAATTTGGGGCCGGAAATGGACGAAATGGACAGGGGAAGGATGGGGGAGAAGACACATGAGTTCCCCTTCTCCACTCCCCTTACTTCCTCTCTTCCTTTCCTCCCTGCCAGAGTAGCTTCTGTCCTTCTGCAACCCAAGGCCAATGCTTCTGAGAAGCCAGACTGAGCTGTTTGAAAAACCATTGTCTAGACACCTGCCTGCCCACTCCCTGTTTGTTCACCTAGAGTGGAGAAAGCTGGCACAGGGGAACTCAGGGGGCAATTCAGACTTTGAGAATGTTCCAGGGGTGTCAGTGTGTGGAAATGGGGGGTCTTGGTGACAGTGTTGGGGTGCCACCCCGGTGAGGTGTCTTGGTTGTAAACAGTCATTACAGCCAGGAATTTTTCGGCTGTGGTGTCAGAAGGGCAGACCTGAAAAACCTGCTGGGCCCGCCTCTGGGTGTGGGGGGTGCCTTCTGCAGCTCTCTTGCTGCAGCCCATCCCTGTGACAGGATGTCAGGACAGGGTCATGGGGTCATCAGTGGAGGTCCCAGGAGCCCGTGTGGGGACACGCTGGGGGGGAGATTGCTCAAATCCCTTTTCTACCATCTCTGGATAGGGACTTGGCAGCCCTAGGTTTCCAGGCAAGAGTGCAGAGGACATGTGAGTGGAGGCAAAGATTTTGGAGCCAGGTGTGGGGCGTTGACCCTGTGTCTAGCCTGCCCAGTGACCCCATGACTCATACCCTAGCTATGTCCCTGAGGTCAGGTTGACAGGGTAGAGTCAGGGTTCCTGTGTGGACCCTGTGTTGATTTCTAAGATGCTCTGAGCTCTCAGAGAAGGGAGGATTGAGGTAGCCCCATGTGAAATGTGGGGCCACTCATAGTGAATGGGGTAAATGGGCCTATGTGGGGAGGAGTTGTGTTCCTTTGGTTGTGTTCCTTTTGAGATGGAAGAAGGTTCAGGGGAGCCTGGGAAAATTTCCCAAATCCAAATGGGACTTGGGTAAAGTAGGAACTCTAGGAGCCAAGGGGCAAAGAGAAGTTGAATTGGGACATCAAGGAAACCCTGCCATGCTGGGAAGGGTCATACCTTAGATGGGTAGCCATGTGAGGGCCTCTGCAAAGTACATGCTGTGTCTGGATTTTTCCCCCTTTTTGGTACTGGGGATTGAACCCAGGGGAGCTTAACCACTGAGCCACATCCCCAGACCTTTTAATTTTTTTAAAATTTTGAGACAGGGTCTCACTAAGTTGCTGAGGCTGGCTTTGAACTTGTTATCCTCCTGCCTCAGCCTCCCGAGCTGTTGGCATTATAGGTGTGTGCCACCTGTACCCAGCTTTCATTTTTATTTTGAGACCAGGGTCACACTATGTTGCTTAGGATCTCTCTAAGTTGCTGAGGCTGGCCTCAAACTTGTGTTCCTCCTGTCTCAGCCTCCTGAGTTGCTTGGATTATAGGCATGTTCCACCCCACCTGGCTGTGCCTGGATTTATAAAACGACTCTAGAGATTGACCTCATACCTGATGTTGAGGACAGGGCACAGCTGCTTTAAGACAGTGATACAGACCCTATGGGGCTGATAGGAGGACAACAGAGAATCCAGGAGCAACTTATAGGCAGCTTGGCCATACCCCACAATATAGAGATGGGTAAGGGGCTTGTACCCCTGCCTCTTTGGTTGCCTGGGTCTTCCCTTGGCTACCAGATCCACAAGCTGTGGATTTCAGGGTAGGTGGAGATGGGAACTCTGTGGCCCCATGAGGCCCTCCCAGTCACCTGTCATGAAGGTTAGGCCAGGTGGTGGGAGGTGATGTCACCCTGCTGCCCAGCTGGGACCAAGCAGGGTGTGGGAGGGAGAGAGCAAAGTCTAGAGGAGAGGATGAGGGAGGGCTGGTAGCTGGCCAAGGCAGACTTCATGGTCCATCAGGGTTTCTGGGCACAGAGAAAATAGGTGGCTTGTTATGTGGTTATGGACTTCACTTCTCACAAATCTCTGCAAGGTGACCTCCATATGCTAGTCTCAGACTAACCTGTGGTGGAGAGAGGGGATGGAGGGACCTTGGGCTAGGTGAATATTCCTTGTTACACAAGGGCTACAGGATGGAATTAGGACAGGTATGGACCCACAAATCTGGACTTGAACCCTAGCTTGGCTCCCTCAGCTTTCATTCACTCATTTACTCAGTCAGCCAACAGACATTCATGAGGCACTTGCTGTACAAACCGCAGTGGTTAGGGTGCTAGAGATACTGATTTAATAGTATCTCCTGATTCAACATGCCTCATGGAGGTACAGGGGAGGCACAGTCTCTTGTTGGACAGCAATTGTTAAGTGATATTTAAGCCCCAGAATTATAAATGAGAAATGGGGCCGGGTGGGTAGGAAGTTTAAAACAGCACTCCAGATGGCCATAGCCTGGGCAAAGGCCCCTATGTGGCTTGCTGGACCAGGCAGTTTATGATGAAGTTGGTGGGGTTAGAACAGCCTTAGTGGTGGAGAGTGTAGGGCCAGGGAGATGGGCCTGGGGTATGTCCTTGACTGTGGGCAAGTTATTCACCTCTCTACCTTCCTCTCCTCACCTCTAACATGGGGTAATAATAATCAGAGAACTCCTATCCCCAGCTAGTTGTGAAGATTCAATGTGACATAGTAGGCAACTCTTCCAGGCAGCCAGTGCTTTATAAGTGCCAACTAGTGTGATATTTGATTGAATCTTTACCATCATTTCTCTCTCTCTAGGCAAGACTCCCGGCTGTGGCCCATGGGCCTCTGAGGAGGCGTAAGTCTGCCCAGCTTCCCACTTGCTGTGTTCCCACTCAATGGGAAGGGAACCAAGGTACCAGGGCAGTGTGGGTCCAGTCATTGACACAGAATCAAAGGCCAGGCCAGGCAGGTGGGTGGGGCCCAGGGCACTTTGTATTCCCATCTGGAGTGTGGGAAGCTGAGTTGGGCTGGGTACTGGAGTATCATGGGATGTGCTTTCTTAATGGCTCCTGTGTGTCACTGCTAGGCCTTGTCCACCATCAGCCACGGCCTCCTGACAACACCAGGATGGAAGTCAAAGGTCAGCTGATCAGCTCTCCTACCTTCAATGCCTCAGGTTGGTGGCTGGTTTCCCCCTCTTGCAGCCTCTTCCCCTGCTCTCCATCACCACCTGTCTGTTTGGGAAAGGTTGGTACCTGGCCCCACAACTGCTTCAGGATTGCCCAGTTGTCCCATTGATCTTTGTTTTTTCTGTCCAGCTGCCCTTTTTGGAGAGGCTGCCCCCCAGGTGAAGTCAGAGCGTCTGAGGGGACTGCTTGACCGGCAGCGGGCCCTGCAAGAGGCCCTGAGCCTGAAACTTCAAGAACTCCGAAAAGTGTGTCTCCAGGAGGCGGTAAGAGTTTGGCCTGAGGGGTGTCAAGTGGGAGGGGGTGAGGGGCTGGGACCCCTAGATAGACAGACTGTGGTGGAAATTGCTAAACCACTAATCTGGACTGTAGGTCACCCTCTGTCTTCTCAAAGCTCAACTGAGATTTCTTAGAATCAGTGAAATATGGTGATACAGGCCTACAGTTTCTTGTCTACCCTTTAAACCCTCCAGATCCTCAACAAACAAACAAAAATAAACAAACTGGAGCTCAGCAGTAGAGTGCTTGCCTACTAGCATGTGCCAGGTGCTGGGTTTGATCCTCAGCACCACATAAAAATAAATAAATAAAATAAAGGTATTATGCCCATCTATAATTAAAGAGAGAGAGAGAGAGAGAGAGAGAGGAGAGAGAAATTTTTAAAAAGGCTGTGTCCAAAATTTGGTAGCAAGGCCTACTCTGAATCTGTCATGGGGTGATTTCTAGGTTTGATTTATCCTTCTTATTGTGAATGCCCTCATAGCTTGCTAGAAACCTTGAAGGGAGTGTTTTTAATATGCAATATATAGAATGTGTTGCCTTTGTAAAAACTAAAAGCTTCTGGACTATAAAGCAGGCTACCCAGCCTCCCACGCACATACCTCAGGGATTTGGACTATTGAGGGGATGAGAGTCTACACTGCCCACCACCTTGGTGGAGATCTTGGGAGAAGGAAGAAAAATAATGTGTGGGATGCTGAGAAGGGCCAGGCTTCTTGGAGGACTTCTGTACCTTCTGGGATCATCACTGCTTTACTCCATCTCCCTAACTAACCTTTGGTAGTCTCTCTCCCTCCCCGGCCCCTCCAGGAGCTGACTGGCCAGCTGCCCCCTGAGTGCCCACTGGAACCTGGCGAACGGCCCCAGTTGGTGCGCCGTCGGCCCCCTGCAGCCCGTGCCTACCCTCCACTGCATCCTAATCCAGCACATCACTCCTTGTGCCCTGTTGAGGTGAGCAGATGGGTGTGGAAAGTAAGATGGTGAGGGGAAGTAACAGCGCCAGGCTTGGGATGGGGAGGAGGTTGTGGCCAGGGGAGGGAGAGGCTAAGATAAGAAGGGAAAAATCTTCAGGAGTTGGATTCTTGGAACAATGCTAGTCCTTACGTCTTTCAGGACAGGTTAGCCACTTTCAAAAGACAACAGGCCCTACCCCTCATCAATATGGACCCCTCTGCCAGAGAATGCTTAAGCTTCACCCCTAGGCAAATTGGTCTGCCCACAGGAAGAGCAAACTGCACTTCCAGTATAGATGGGCTCCTCCACTCTCTGGCCCCTGTGCCTGGCAATTTCTAACATTTGGTTCTCTCCTACCCATCTTGGGTCCCGTAGGAGCTGGAACGGGAAGTGTCGGTGCAGCAGCAGATTGCAGCCGCTGCCCGACGCTTGGCCCTAGCCCCTGAGCTGAGTGGTGAACAGCGGCGACGCAGGCGCCAGGTACAGGCGGATGCACTGAGGAGGCTGCATGAGTTGGAGGAGCAGCTGGGGGATGTCCGGGCCCGCCTTGGCCTCCCAGTTCTCCCTCCCCAGCCACTGCCGCTGTCTGCAGGGGCACTTATCACCACCCAGGGAGTCTGCCTGGGCACACGCCTAGCTCAGCTCAGCCAAGGTGAGCCAGGCCTCAGCACCCTACCAGTGAGAATGGGAAAATGGGCCAGGAAGGGACTCTTTTAAGTAATGGAAGTGGTAGGGGTGGCATGGATGAGCAGCCAGTGAAGCCCAGAATTTAAGGGAGCCACTGAATGAGAAGAATTATAGAAACTGACTCACAGGTAAGGGCAGGCCCTAGGGGACTGAGCACTAGACACCAGGAAAGTGAAGACCCAGCCTGTGGTGGTCATGCATTCGGATAAAGGTGGATTCTTGGGAGAGGGAACAGGGTGAGATGGTATACTCCAGAAGGTGAGCTAAGCAGAAGAGCCCATTCAGTGGTGTAAGGGGTTGGTACCCAGGTCTTGGAGTGATAGGCCTGGTTCTCCCCCTTCTCACCTGTAGAAGATGTAGTTCTGCACTCGGAGAGCAGCTCCCTGTCAGAGTCTGGGGCCAGCCATGATAATGGTGAGGACTCCTATTCCCCAAACCTGCCCACAATTCCCTTTTCTGTCTCCTCAGCCCATCCTGTTGCTCAGACCCTTACTTGTTTAGCTCCTCCTTAGCCATGCCCCATCTGGTTGTACCACCCCCCATTTTAGCTTCATCATATCCCTCACCCCCTCAGCCCAAGGATCTACTTTTCAGCCTCTTCCTTACCCATTTTACCCCACCTCTCCCCTTATTTCTTTAGCTTGCTTAATCATGTCCTAGCTCTTGCCCTTTCCTTACTTCTCTAGTCCCTCCCTGTTGCTTCGCCCCAATCCATACTGCCTCTTCTGACCTTCTCTAATGAATTATACCCCATTCTCTCCTTCCATCCAGAGGAACCCCGTGGCTGCTTCTCTCTGGCAGAGCGCCCCTCGCCACCAAAGGCTTGGGACCAGCTGCGAGCAGTATCTGGGGGGAGCCCTGAGCGACGAACCCCATGGAAACCACCTCCTTCAGATCTTTATGGGGATCTGAAGAGCCGGAGGAACTCTGTGGCCAGCCCCACCAGGTGAGGATGAACCTCTTCCCCTGCCTTCCCCAGGAGCCAGGAATGGAATCCTGAGCCTGGGCTGGCAAGAGGGCCTGCTGGTGGGTACAGTCTCTAACCTGGGCCCCGACCTGGGCCTGCCCGTCTCTGTCTAGCCCCACACGCTCGCTGCCCAGGAGTGCTTCCAGTTTTGAGGGGCGAAGTGTGCCTGCCACCCCTGTCCTCACCCGGGGCACTGGCCCCCAGCTCTGCAAGTAAGGGGACTCTGAGGGAGGGTCTGAGGATCAGAGAAGGGAACTGTTAGTTTTAACTGGAAGTGTTAAGAAATTATCAAAATGTGGGGGCATGGGCAACTGGGTTTAAAAGGTGAATAGGAGTTGTCTTGGAGAACAGGGTGGGAATTGGGGGCAGAGGCACAAATGCTTGAGTATGTTTCTTTTTCCTGTATCTTCTTATCTCTGAATCCTTGTGTCCTTATTTGTGAAACAGGCACAGTGACATCTGCCTTTGAGAGACACAGGCATAATAATTTCTGGGCAACATGTCCTGGGTGCCTATACTGTCTGCTAGTAATCAGTGTTTTGTGTGATATCAACTCATTTAATCATCACAAGTTCCCTCTGAGAGCTGTGGTCTTGTCATTCCTGTTTTACAGATGAGGCACAGAGGGTTAGTTAATGAGCTGGTTAGTAAACTGAAATCCTGGTGTTTGAACCCAGGCAATCTTGACTCTGGAGTCTGTGCTTTTAATCACTATACTATATACTCTTTGTTTTGTCTGGTTTGGTTTGGTTTGGTACTGGGGATAGAATCCAAGGATACTACCACTGAACTACATCCCCAGACCTTACTTTTCATTTTGAGACAGGGTCTTACTAAGTTGCTGAGGCTGGCTTTGAACTTGTGATCCTCCTGCCTCAGCCTCCCAAGCCACTGGGATTACAAGCATGTGCCGCCACGCCTGGTTTATTCTATTGTTTCTTAAACAGTAGGTACTTATTAAGTACCTACTTTCCCAGGTTGCAAACAAAACCAAATCCCTCTGTATTTGAGGCCTGTGTTCTGTGCATGGTGGCTGTTGGGATGATTGTTTTGGGCAGTTCATAAACATGGTGGCGCAGAGTTTAGGCAGGTCTTAAATTCCAGGCCTAAGGACTAGGACTTGGTCCTGAAAGTAGTGAGGGTTAGGATTAGGGTTAGGGGATAAGGAAGAACGCTCTGTTTGACTGCTCCTCTGCTAATATTTTCTCCCCAGCCCTATACATATTTGCATCTCCCTTAGTGTTAACTGCCCTTTCTGTCTATACATTTCCAACCCCAGGGGCCCCCAGTCTGGGACCAAATTTCAGCTGTCCTTCCTAACACCTTCATGCATCCAATTTCTGGTCCTGGGCCCATTTTAGAGATATGCAAGTGGAGGCTCAGAAAGAGATGGTGTGGGGAGGGCATTCAAACCACTTGCCTGATATTTTTTGACCGTACTCCCATTACCCTCACCTCTGCACCCCAGGCCCGAAGGCCTCCATTCTCGACAGTGGTCCGGCAGCCAAGACTCCCAGATGGGCTTCCCCCGGGCGGACCCTGCCTCAGATCGCGCCTCCCTCTTCGCAGCTCGCACTCGCCGCAGCAACAGCTCTGAGGCCCTGCTGGTGGACCGGGCTGCTGCTGGGGGAGCTGGCTCTCCGCCTGCCCCTCTGGCTCCCCCTGCCACTGGCCCACCAGTCTGCAAGAGCAGTGAGGTGCTGTATGAGCGCCCCCAACCAACCCCTGCCTTCTCCTCTCGCACAGCAGGGCCCCCAGACCCTCCCCGGGCCGCCAGGCCTAGCTCAGCTGCCCCTGCTTCCCGTGGAGCCCCCCGGCTCCCACCTGTGTGTGGGGACTTCCTCTTGGACTATTCCTTGGACCGAGGCCTGCCCCGCAGTGGCGGCGGGGCAGGCTGGGGGGAGCTGCTGCCTGCAGCTGAGGTCCCAGGACCACTCTCCCGCCGGGATGGGCTCCTCGCCATGCTCCCTGGCCCACCACCCATGTATGCAGCTGATGGCAGCAGCCCCCTCCTCCGCAGCAAGGACCCCCACACCCGTGCCACCCGTACCAAGCCCTGTGGCCTGCCCCTGGAAGCTGCTGAGGGTCCAGAGGTGCATTCAAACCCTCTGCTATGGATGCCCCCACCCACCCGGATCCCCCCGACGGGTGAGCGCAGTGGCCACAAGAACCTTGCTCTGGAGGGGCTGCGGGACTGGTACATCCGGAACTCGGGACTGGCCATGGGGCCCCAGCGCCGGCCTATGCTCCCTCACGTGGGCCCACCACACCCACCCTTCCTTCATGCCCGCTGCTATGAGGTGGGCCAGGCGCTGTACGGGGGCCCCAGCCAGGCTCCGCTCCCGCACTCGAGGAGTTTCACGGCACCCCCTGTTTCCAGCAGGTATGGGGGGTGCTTTTACTGATGGGTAGGGGTCTCTTGAGGTAATTGGTGAAGATATCCAGGCCAGGGATCAGCTAGTCATGATAGCTAATGACTGGGACCACAAGGAAACTAGCTGCAGTGTTGACACAGGTCATTTCCAGGTGTGACCTGCACTAGGCCTTGAGGTCCTGGTAGAGGGGGATCCTGGGCACTGGTAGCAGTTCCTTACCAAGTCCTAGAAGGAGTTTAATGTTTTAACCAGTGCATGTTGGCTGGAAATGAGCCTTGAAGCCAGGGTGCTGGGAGGAAGGGACGTCATGTGCCCTCACCTTTCTCTTCCTCTTTTCTCCATGCCCCATGCTGGGGAGCATAAAGGTGCTTTTCTGTGCCTGCCTCCACCTCTTTAACGAGACTCTTTTCCTCTTTCTTTCTGTGTCTTGTCTGTCTTTTCCTCTCTCTTCTCTGTCTTCCCCACCCTGTCCTCCGGATTCCTGCTGTCCCCTTCTAAAGATACTACGCGGACTTCCTGTACCCCCCGGAGCTGAACGCTCGTTTAAGTGACCTGACGCTAGAGGGGGACCAGTCTTCCAGTTCTGACCCCCAGACCCCAGGGACACTGGTCTGACCCCTTCTGATATGCCCCTTGTTGGTCTGGGCATGGCTCTAGTCCTGGGAGCACAGAGCCGACCTCGCTGAGCCCTGGGATGTGGTTGCTCTCACTCCTGGGCGGGGCGCCAACCTGATCTTCCAAGGCCCCTGGCTCCCCATGGGCCCGGGAAGGTGTCTAATACCCTGCTTCTCTCACACTGTGCTGGGGACTGGGGGACCTCAGCCAGCTTCAAGGAGAGTGAATGATGTAATGGGGATTCCAATCCCCTTCCTCCATTTCTGTTTACAGTTGTGATTTAGTATTCACTGTCTTTGCCCAATACTAGGCATTTTATAAAAGGGAAACTGTGAGCTCGTCCTGGTTGGGTTCATTCCTGTTCCCCTGCCCAACCTGTTCTGTTCAGGTCCGCTGCCCCCTCCATAATGGACCATATAGGGTCTTAGGACCCTTTTGGGGGGTAGTCAGGAGACTCTGTTGTGAACAGAACTCCCTGCCACTCCCCAAACCAGGGCAGTTTGGATTTCTGCCCACATTTGGAAGGATTAAATTCTGGGTGGGGTGCCCTATCCCTCTCTGTGCTGATCATTCCCAATCAGGAGGCCCTGTAGGAGGCTAACAAGGGGCAGAGCCATTCAGTATATTGCATCCTGGGATGCTGTGGTGGTTGAACCTGGCATCTGGTAGATGCCAGTACAATCCTCAGGTGACGTCTGGCCATGGGCCACAGGCCACGTCACATCCTCCTTGGCTTTCCTTCAATTCAACACTTTTTAAACAAATCCATACAATCTGTGTTTTCTATGATACCTGTCTGTGACTTTCTGGAGCTGGGGGTTCCCCTACCCCCTTTACCTAGTGTTAAAATTTTTCTTTTTGTACCAGTGGATCTGGGCCCAAGACACTACCCACACTGGAAGGGGATTTCTATAATAAATGTGTAAACTGAACCTCGTGTTGCTTCTCTAGTCTGCTTTGCCTTGGGGCCCACACCTCTCATTAATACATTTTTACAGGAAGAAAAATACCGGATAGCCTGCAACAGTGTCATCTGTTTTGGCTTGCTTTGTGATGTGGGACAACTTTGCCTGTCTGCTCTAAGATTCCTAGACCACCTCAAACAGGAAATTTTTTTTAGGTACTGGGGATTGAACCCAGAATATTCTACCAATGAGCTACATCCCCAGTCCTTTTTAATTTTTTTTTTTTTTACTTTGAGACAAGGTCTTACCAAGTTACCAAGCTAGCCTCAAACTTGCTGTCCTCCGGCCTCAGACTCCTGAGTCACTGAGATTACAGGTGGGGGCTAGCACACCCAGCTCAAACAAGAATTCTTAGTAATTCAAAATGGTGATAGTATACACTCTGTTCCCTTAACCTCCCCATGCTTTATTGATCATCCAGAGGTAAAAGTTTTGAGAAAGGGCCTAAGCCCTTCATCCTACACACTTGACAGGGAGACCTAATCAGGTAGAGGCTAGCAGAATTGAAGAGCAGACCACCCTGTCCATTGAAAGGTACAAGAACTTCACTCAGGAGGCCAAACTGGCTTGAGAGATGCAACGGCTTTATTGTTGCAGTAATACTGATACAGATATCCTCTTCCCTGCTGGGGCTTCTCCACCCCTTGGTCCTTGACACTGGAATGTTGGGGAAAGGAGCCAAATCTGGAGAGCTGGAGGGAAGCTACTGGGACTTGTGAGGGTTGGGGATCACCTGGGACCAAGGATCCAACAGTCAGGTATTCTGATTCCACCCAGGTGAGGCCTGAGAACACTTGGTTTGGGGGTCAAGATTTGGCAATGCCTTAATCTGGTTCAAAGCAGGGGTGGGGCTAGAAAAGCTTTGGTCCCGGTATCTTGTGTTGAGAATTCCTTGCCCTGGGCATGGGATCCCAGAACGGAATACCAGTGAATTCCAAATTTGGGTTGGGGGGTATCTCTTGAGTCCATAGTTTGAGATTGGTCAGGGATGCTCTGGTCTCGAGCCCCAGTTTTGGAGGTGAATGTAGGTGGCTCTGGATCCCAAGTTCAGGGCTGTAGAAGTCTCTGGTATCTAAATAATAGGGGTCTGGATCCAAGGAAATCCTGATTTTGCATGTGGGGCACATTCACAGAGGTCTCGTTTGGACTAGGGGGCTCTAGGCTCCTATCTTAAAGTCTGGGAAAGGGCTCTGGGTCCCAGGTATGGGCTGGGGTGGGATGGTGTTCTCCAGGCCCTTGGGTGCAGATTCCAGGCCCTTAGGATCCAGCCTCCTGCTCTTGTCCCAGGGCCTCTAGTAGCAGCCCCATTGGCGTTCGCTTGAGACCAATGCTCTCGATCTTGTTCTCGATCTTGTTTTTAAGGTTGCGCAGGCGCAGCGAGGCATGCACCAGGATCACTGTGGGCGGTATTCAGAGGAGTCGGGTCAGTGGGAAGGGCCCTTATTTTTCAGCCAGTCGGGGCCCACTGGAGGGAATTGGCTCACTGGCAGGCCAATCATCAAGTGGAGTGGCAAGGACACCTCTGGAGTAGTTATCTTTACATGGGGGCGTGGCCAGGAAGGGAGTCCAATAACAGGGACGTGGCCAGTTTAAGGCACTTAACACCAGGAGACCCAAGAAGGTGGTAATAAGAGAGGCGTACTCTTAAGTGGGGAGCAGCGCCAAAGAAGGCGCATTTAATAGAGGCCTTGCTGCCCTTGTGTTGCTTCTCTAGTCTGCTTCCCAGCCCCCTCTCAGCCCACGGACCAGCACAGGGCGGGCCTGCTGACTTAAGCGCGCTGGCCATTTCCCCGGCCATTTCAGGGTAGTGAAGACTCACAAAGGACCGGCCCGGCGATGCTGATCAGGAAGGTGCAAGCGCCACCCGCGACCCAGAGAACGAGGAGACCGACGGCAAGTACTGCTGCCAAGCAGGCTGCTGGGTGGCTGCGGCGGCAGCGGCGTACTGCTGCGCGGGTCTCAGCAGCCCACACCAGCACGCCGAGGGCTACCACCACTGCAAGCGCACTCAGGAGCGTGTGCAGCGGACGCACGTACCTGCGGGAACAAGGGCACTAAGCTAGTCTCACCATCCACTAGGTCCTGGGCCCCAAGAGCGTAGATCCCCGTTTCTGGACCATCCAGCCCAGCAAACACTCATGCCAGCTCTGTCCCCGACAGGTCCATCCACCAGATTCCTGTGGACCCACATTCCCTGCGTGTCAATCCTACAGTCTGAATTTCTTGTTCCCTGATTTTGGTCTTCCCATCTCGCTAGATGCCCCGGGCTCCAAACACTTTCCTGGGTCTTTCTTCTGACTCTACCCCCAACTCCTGAGCAGGGATCCTTCTCCAGCAACCCCACCTTCACCTCACCCCACATCCTCCATTTGAGCCGAGCCCCTGCAGATCCAGCATCCAGGCCTCAAATCCTGTCACACATTTCTTTCTCCCTAGGCCCAGGGTCTTTACAGGACCACCTTCCAGGCGTCCTCCACAAATGTCCCCTCCAGGCTCCCATTTCCCAGTAGATTCCTCCATCATCATTGCTAGAACTCCAGGTCTTCAGTCCCACGCTTAACTTCCAAGTTAAGAACCCCACTCTTAATTGCCTAAGTCCCTCTTCTATTTAGATTCTCCATCCCTCTGATCTCAGGCTTTTCAACCCTGGGTCCTCCCTCTGGGACCAAGTTCCCCAACAGGTACCTCTTTATCTTCATGTCCATCTCCAAGCCCACTTTCCCCTTCAGTTCCACACTTCTCCATCCTCCCTAGATCTTTCCTTCAGACCCTCCATCCATCCCCCGCAGGCCTTCCTTATAACCAGGATTCACTTCCTTCCGTGTACTTTAGGCCTTCCACTTCTGCCATATTCACCCTTCTTGCCTCAGCATTTCCTTAGGTTCCCCCTCCCAGTCCTCAAAGACCAAGAGGTCCACCCTCTATGCCCTGCTGGCATCCCCAGCCAACCGTTGCCTCCCTCCCTCACCCAGCCAGAGCGAGACCAAAGCCAAAGCAGAGAAGGTAGTTGGTTTGATAGTAGAGGAGGTTGTTGATGACGCGGTGGCACCATCGCTGCGGGTCGCATAGATCCGGAGCAGCCAGACGTGCTGATCCCAGAACAAAGTCGTCTAGGGCGCGTAGCGGTGGCAGCCGCACCTCCGACATCCTGCGGGTTGCTGGACCAGCCCGGAGGGCGGCCGGACTACAACACCCGTTATACCCCGCGGCAGCGCGGGGCACCCCGGGAAATGGAGTCTAAAACAAACCACAGATATACTGCGCAGATGCGCATGTGACCGGAAATGCAAATAATTTGCCGGCAAGTAAGGCAGCAAAGGCTGCCGGGAAATGATGCCTCAGCCGCGCAACGAGGTTCTGTGAACTCTTCAAATTTTGAACCGCCCCTAGGCGGGGCATCGAGATTGGGAGCAGTACTGGGCGGGGCTGGCGGCTCAAGCACTCGGTAGCAAGACCGGAGATGTAAGGCCGCAGGGACTTTCAGAAGAACCCGAGCAGGATTCCACTTCCTGTCAGGATCCAGAGAGGGTCACACCTCTCTGGCCAACTCAGAGCCCCACCCCTGAGGTCAAGCCGTAAATGCCTTTAAGGGCCTTTTATTCACATCAATTACATCAAAGATCATCTTTTCCTGGAAAGCTTTTTTAAATCCCCAGGTTGGGTTAAGACACGCCCTCTTGAGTCTTTGGCAAATTTTTCTGGGCGAGGAGCCCCAGGGAATCTGCCGGCTTCCCAGTCCGAGGCATGGCCCTTGGGGCAATCATCAAAAAGTGCTTGGAGGAAGTGAGCTGTTTATTTAGACATCTCTCTGCTGGGTGGAGAGTGGCACAGGCCCCATTAATGCTTGATGGTTGGTGAATTCCACAGCACTTCCCCACCCTCAAGGTTCAGTTCTACCATATGTCACTGCAGGTTCCTAGCACGTCCCCCAGGGTCCTTAAAAATCATCATCATCACAGATGTCAAGGTACACGTCGAAAGCCTCTCTGTTGCAGTTTCCATCAGGAGTGAAGACATATTTGTGGAAGGTTCCATCTACGCAGATGGCTGGGGGGGTGGGAGGGGTGGTAAAAGGTTAGGGGCTGCCACAGCCACACACAGCAGCCTTCTCAGGTGTCGCATGGTCTAGGGTCTACCTCCAAATCCTTTGCCCAAGTGCCATACCCCTTACTGATGATGTGTTGAGCCACACACTCCAGCTCCCTCAGGCTTCTGATGGCCCTCAAATTCTTCTAGGTCCAACCTGCAGACCTTTGCCCATGCAGTACCCCGAACCAAGGGGCTTTTTCCACTCACCAATTACAGAATTGACGTTCTTGGACGTATTGCGACCAAAGGCGCAGATGCATGCTGACTCAGCAGGTACAGTAAAGCTCGCCAGGCTCCACTGAGAGTCCACATATTGCCCAATCATAGGCCCCACCTTGCCCACACGAGCCAGCCTGCAGGCAGCACTGGGTAAGCCCAGGTGGGGTACATGGGCAGGGGGATGGGGATGATACAGGGTGAGACAGAGGGTACTCACGCAGAGCGTCGGTTGAGGCGGGTATCCTTGAGAGCAAAGATATGGACAGTGCCTTTATCACTGGAAGCGCAGAGGAAGGAGGAGTCGTGGCTGAAGTTAATGCTGGAAGACAGACCAGCCAAGTGCACATGTAATGTGTGTCATGGGGTCACCACCCCACCATACATATCTTGTGCTCACCAGTATAGGGTTGCAGGGTCAGTGCCTCGTCGCAGCTCCACCAGTTTTTCCTTGGACTGAGTGTCAAAAAGGCGAATAAGGGTGCCCTTCTGGGAGGCAGAGGCCACTACAGTGCCTGGCTGGTTCAGGGACACACAGGCTACATCACTCTGATGTGCATTGATGGTGAAAGGAGCAGATGAGGTGCCAGGCTTTGTGCTTGCCAGATCCTGAGGTAGGAGGGAGCTGCTTGGCCTTGGAGTGGCATGGAGGGGAGAAGCCAAGAGTCCACAGGGAGAGCCAGCCCACCTGTATTCTTGCCCACTGGACAACTCACCACAAGTTGCAGACTTCCACACTTGTGTCCTGGGAATACAAGCAGTTGCTTCTCCAGGCTGGGACAGAGGTCACAGAGCCCTAGGGTGTGAGGATGCAGGAAGGATGGGCAGGTAAAGAGGAGAAAGGTGAGGGTACAGTCTCTCGAAATGGGCAGATTTGGGTAAGGGACAAACTTCAAATCTCCATAATGGGGACATGTTATCTATAGAAACTGGGGGTAGAGTGAGGGTGGTGGCAGAATTTTGTTCAGCTGCACTCCCCACCAGATTCCTATCCTCCCCCAAGCAGCTGTGGATTCTAATACGCTTCTATGACAGCCTAGAAGCCCAGGGCTCCCTAACACACCCACCCACATCTTCACTAGGTGTTTCTGCTCTCATCTGAGGCATCCAGAGATGGGACAGTGCTGAAGGTGGGGAGAGAGAACAGTGGAATAGAAGGATGAATAGACTGCACCCTTCAGCCCATTTGAGCATCTCTGTGCATGAAGCCTTTCTCCCTGTTCTTTTCCCCATGTACTGGGGATTGAACTCAGGGATGCTCTACCACTAAGCTACATCCCCAATCTTTTCAGGGTCTCATTAAGTTGACCAGGTTGGCTGTGAACTTAGCATCCTGAGTAGCTAGGATTAGAGACATGAGCCACCATGCCTGACCTCTCTTCCTAATTTTTAAAAATACATCACAGATTATTATACTTTAATTATAACAATTCATAAATCCATAGTGATACTTTCTAAAAGTATTTTTTTTAATTGTTGATAGACCTTCATTTTATTTATTTATATGTGGTGCTGAGAATCGAACCCAGTGCCTCACACATGCCTGGCAAGTGTGCTACTGCTGAGCCACAGCCCCTCTTCCTATTCTTTGTGTGTGCTCCCTTCCTTTTTCTCCTATCTCTGTCCCACTCCTGGGCTCACACCCTTACACCTGCATATCTGGGTCCTCTCACCCTTGGGGTTGTCTCTGGTGTCAAATTCAAACAGCTTTCGGGGATTGTCAGGAAAAGAGTACACGTAGATACGGTTCCTCAGCACGATCACAATCCTGTGGGCATCACACAACACAGGATGGCCATGAGGGGAGGGAGGGCAGGCTTCCCAGATAGAACTCACTCTTTCACTTGTTCTGGGGACCTCCTGCCCTCCACCCCAGTCCTCCTCAGGCTCACTTGTCATGGCGCATGCGCACAGCCAGCACTGGCTTGGTGAAGGTGAACTCCAGCACCAGCTTGTCCTTGGAGTCCTTGCCCTCCCGGGCATCATCCCAGATCAGCACTGCTGGGCAGGTTGGTGGGTTGGTGGGGCCAAGGTTTAGGGTGAGGGGCAGCCCTGGTGACACAGGACCCACCCCTTCTCTCCATTGGACCTTACCCCACTCCCTTGGCCTTTCACTAAACCCCCAATGTGAGCTTTGCACAGCATGATCACTCTGGGCAAGGTCCCTGAGGGACTAGGTTCTAGAACTATTATGCTTGTTTGGTGATGAGGAAACTAGGGTTTGAAGGGGTTTTGTCTGACCAGGGACCTTACAGCCCATCAACAACCAAGAAGGGGCTCATACCCAGGCTTATAACTTTCCCTCAGCAACCATATCTACTTCCAGGGTCTCAGTCCATACCCCTCAGAGATTTCTGTGAGGAATCCTAGGGCTCTGTGACTCACCTAGGACAATTCTTCCCATGCTGTGGTGGGATTGACAAGAAAATACCTTAAAACAAGATGGCACTTAAGGCTCAAGCCAAGGAGGTGTTTGAAAGACAGCACCAAGGTGTGAAAAAACTATTGATTGTGTGATCTTAGGCAAGTCAACCTCATTGGGCCTCAGTTTCCTCATTGATAAAAATGTGTGGCTTAAGATGTGACAGTCATAGGTTCTCTCCCTAGCACTGTAAAAATAGGAGAGGGAAGAATCATGATACTTCCTACCAGAGTTACTGTGAGGATTAAATGAGTCAATACAGATGAAGTGCTTAGGACAGTGTCAGGCTCACAGTAAGTGTTCCATAGGTAAGAACATGGCACATACAGGGCACTGGGTTAAGTGTGTTTGTTGTCCTCGGGATTGAACCCAGGGCCTTGTGCATCTCAGGCATGTACTGTACCACTGAGCTATACCCTAAGCCCCAATAAGTGTTTTAAAAATGAAAACAAAACATCAAGCTTCTCATCAAACTTCCAAGCTGTGGGCCTCACTATGGGAATCTGAGGTGCTCTGACATTCATCTGCTAGTGCTTCCCAGATTCCTGTGGGAGGCCAGGAATCCCAGGAATCTGGGTCAAGGGCAGGATGAGGGCACTTACCTGAGATCTCGGAGAACTTGGGGCTGCCACCACCGCCCACCAGGGCCAGCAGGTTGGAACGGTGCAGCATCTCTACCAGGCCCATGCTGCCCACCTGCTCGTGGTCTGAACAGGGACCAGGATGTCAGTGGAGGTAGGTGCCAATGCCCAGCCTTCTGCCCACCACCCCTCCCCCACTAAGTGGCTCACCCAAATGCCCCTTCTCCATCAGTGGTTCAACATTGTAGATGCGCACACCTGTCTCCATGGCACAGCAAAAACAGCCTGGGGATGGAAGGAATCCAGAACACCTGGAGAGGGGAGCTTAGGCCTATGGCCCACCTCTGACCCTTCTCTCCTCCCCTCCCTCAAGGGTACAGGTACAAGCATTATTCACTTTGGTCTTGGTTGAAACGTAGGCTGGTCACCCCTCGAAGAGGCTGCTGAGTCATGGTTCAGGATTGTACCCCTAGATACAATAGTATAGAGTTGACAAGGGTCCTGGGATCTCCCCTCCACACCCTAGAACTTCTGTCCCTAAGTGATTTCTTCTCCTCCCCACTCTGCTAACTTCTCGACCAGACTACAGAGAAGATAAAATGGGAGGAGAGTCCTAAAGTCTCTGCTCTAAGCTCCAAAGTCCCCCAACAGAATGGCCAGAAACCCTATTTTGTCTCACACATATTTTCACAATCCCAGACCCAGGCCTATACTGACTTAGTCCTTGTACCTCCTCCTTAGACACTGACCCTTACTGACTTGACAGGAAGTAATGTGGTAGGGGACACCCCAGTGATACCTCCTCCCTACCTCCAGCCAATCTTAAGGTGGCCTCAAACCACTGCTTACCCACTTCTGATCTTCACACATGCATACAGCACCCAACTCTGACTGTCAGTATATAGGGGAAAAGGGGTCAAACACTTTTACTGATTCTTGCACCTTCTGAGACTGACTGCAGTGTGTGGTCCACCACCCACAGGAACTTCCCTCATGCCCTTCCTACTCTACCGCAACTCATTCATATATTTGAATCTTCTCACAATTTTCTTCCTCACAAACCTTCCCCATCTCCTTCTCACACCTTGCAAACTCTGCCTACCAAGGCCAGCTTAGACTTTCCCCTGGGTCCCATTATGACCTGAAGACCCTACTTCAGTATTCCTGTATCACTTTCAATCTTCCACTCGTGGAACATCTGATTTCTTGTGCTCTGCTGTCCCTGGCTCCTACTTGAACTGGCTTAGATCCACCGTCAGGCACCCATCCCCCTAATAGTGCTTCTCTAAACCCTCTACCCTCTCACCAAGACCCTGCTCCAGGGAATAGCTAACCCTAAAAGCCTTTTCCCAGGACACACCACCCAAAACCCCTTCCTAAGAAAACCTTAACCTTGTAAAAAAGCCTGTTCTGGTTCCCCCCCCCCCAAGATTCCTGCCCTAAAGAGCCCCCATCCTCCCTTCAAATCCAATCTCTCTCAAGACCTCTACCTAGATACACTCCCCTGCCCATCTTCTAAAGTCTCCTACCTTTCCCCCCTCCATCTGACAGCCTCACTCCCCCAAGACCTATACTTTTGATAGCTCCTCCTTCCAAGACCCCTTTTTTGGACTTCCATCCATTCCAAATACCAGCACCACCCAAGAATCCTACACGGGACGCCTCAGGCCTCTTCTAAGACTCCTCTCATACCCCTTGCAACACCAGCACTCACTTTAAGACCCCTGGCCCAGATCCCTAACCTACTAAGACCCCTCCTCAAGACCCCACCCCCCGTGACCCCGATTAGCTCTGGGATGTGCTCCAGTTTCCCACCGCCTTCACCGACCTGACTTCAGTGCGTTCCTGACCCCTGGCCTCGCTGTCGGTGCCGCCCGCGGCCCGGCTTTCTGACCTCCCAGGCCTTGGTGCCCAGCTCAGGTGTTTACATCAGGCCCCGCTTCCGGGGGAGGGAGTCTGCGACCGGAAGTGACTTCCTGGCCTGACAACTCGATCGCACAACCCTTCTCGTCCGGTTTGCGGGTCTTTCGAGCATCCCGAGTGATACCAGGGTCCTCCATGGAGGGCTCAGGGAGCAGAGGAAGGTCGGCTATGGGGACAGAGGATACCCAAGGGCAAGGTTGCCCGAGGGCGTGGGAACCAGGAAGGGGTTGGGAAGAGAGGGCCTTCCCTTTGCTAAACGGAAATGGGCCCAGCAGGCAACTCTTTAACCCATAAATAGCCAGAGGCTTTTAACCTTCCAGGCGAACAAGACGTGGTCCTCCGAGTTGGGCTAGAGTAGCTTCCGGCTGTTTGTCTTAGGAGTGGTCTCAGACTTAGGGAGGTGGCTTGAAAGGCTTGGGGCATAGGCGGATTTAGAGACCTTGAAAGTTAAGCCTTTATCTCTTTGGTCAAGGAAACTCAGGGATGGAATTATACTCTCCTCACTGCACCTCTGGTCCTGTTTTATTTACAAAATGAGAAATAGTTTTTTGACGATAAAAGGTATGAATGCTTACTGTAGAAACCAAAAGGCTTCCAAATTATGTGCATGCTGGAAGTATTTCTTTTCTTTTTCTTTCTTTCTTTTTTTTTTTTTTTTTTGGTGTGTGTGTGGTGCTGGGAATTGAACCCAGGGCCTAGTGCATGCGAGGCAGGCACTCTATCACCTGAGCTATATCTCAGCCCATGGAAGTATTTCTTAAACTTAAAAAAATTTGAGACAAGAATGGTTTCATACAATTTTAAGAAATATAAATTGTTACAATCAGAATACTAACACTAATGCAATATACCTTTTTTTCCCCCTGGTACTGGGGATTGAACCTGGGTTCAAGAGCATCTGTTTAATTCATCTTTTTAACTGGCTCATGATATTCCATGTTATAAATATAGTTTTGTTCAGCTGTTCCCTCATTGATGGACATCTAGGGTGTTTCAGCTCATGTATCATTAACAGCCATCGAAATGTTTACCTGTGCACTTTGACCCCATATACCCTCCTAGGCATTTGACTCCTCAGCAAAGCCAATCTTCTGGCTTCCTTCAATGTCTACTTCCTCATGTCCCAGACCATATTTAACTTAATTCAGTTTGGCCTCTGTCACTGAGACTGCTGTTAACCAAATCACTGATGAGTAACAATCTTGCCAAAGCAGCAATCACTTCTCTGCCCTCTCCTGGGACATTCCAGTGCAGTCCACAGTTCTTCCTGCTCTTACTCTCCTCATGTTCTCCATCTCTGGCTATCCCTCCATTTGTATACGATTGATTTCCAAATATTATAATCTTTGGGTATTGCTATTGTTTGAATGTGTTCCTCAAATTCATGTATTGGAATTTTAATCTCCAAATTCATATATTAATGGCATTTGAGGGTGGACCATTGGATGGTGATTGGGTTCAAGAGGTCTTTGCCCTCAGGCCCTTGCCTTGGGAGTGGCTTTGTTGTTGGCTTTACAGTTGCAGATGGAACTGTGTATGCTAGGCAAGTGCTCCACTACCTAACTACATTCCCAGCCCCATTTATGCCATTTACTAGTGAAAGTTTTTTTGTTTTTTTTTCATTGTGTTTTGTCTTGTGGTGCTGGGGAAGGAACCCAGGGCCCCAGGTGACTTAGGCAAGTGCTCTACCATTGATCTATATCCCTAGGCCTTAGGTTACTTTTTTCTGTGTGTAAAGATTAAGGCAAAGGGAATTACATTATCATGCCAATTGAAAGTAGCCTTTTTGAGAAATTTGGCTTTTATCTCTGTGATCCTGATTTCTTGTAGATCAGATTTAAAGTTTAGTTTCAACTTGCCTTAATCCTTCCACAAAAAAATAATCTAAAGTAACCCGATATCCAATTTTTTTTTTTGGTACTTGGGATTCAACCCAGAGGCGCTTTACCACTGAAGCACATCCCCAGCCCTTTTTAGCTTTTAATTTTGAGACAGGATCTCACTAAGATACTTAGGGCCTCACAAAGTTACTGAGGCTGACCTTGATTTTGCAGTCTTCCTGCCTTATCCTCCCTAGTGCTGGAATTTTAGGCGTACACCACTGGGCCCAAATCCAATCAGTTATTTTTCCACTGTTCTTTCTCCCTGTCCCTGCTGTACAAGAAAAGTAACTTTGAAATGAACAATCTGATTTTTTTTTGTTTCAGCTTTCTTCAGCCTTTCTGTACCTATAAACCAGCCTTCTTTCTTTAGCTCATTGGAACAATTATGCTTTTATGAAAAAAGTATTACCAAATTCTAGAGTCACAGTTAAAGCCAGTTACAAATTTTAAGTGGATCTGGGCAAGATGATAGACTCCTATAATCACAAAACTTGGGAGGCTAAGGCAGGAGGATTTTAAGTACAAAGCTAGCCTGGGCAATTTAGTGTGACTTTGTCTCAGAATAAACAATAAATTAGACCAGGCATAGGAAGGGCTGGGGTGTGGCTCAGAGTTGGAGCACTTGCATAGAATGCGTGAGGCAGTGGGTTTGATCCTCAGCACCACATAAAATAAAGGTATGTGTCCACCTACAACTAAAAAAATAAATGTTTCAAAAAGAAATTAGACCAGGAGTGGTGGTGCATGCCTGTAATCTAAGCAACTCAGGAGGCTGAGGCAGGAGGATTTCAAGTTTAAAGGCAGCCTCATCAAATTAGCAAGGCTCAACAACTTAGCAAGGGGCTAGGGATGTGGCTTAGTGGTTAAATGTCCCTGGGTTCAAACCTCAGTACCAAAATAAATAAAACAAAATTAAAAAGGCTGGCATTGTCACTCAGTGGTAGAGCATCCCTGGGTTCAATCCCTACTACCACCAACAAACAGATTTTCACTGGATGCCATGGCACATGCCTGTAATCCCAGTAACTGGGGAGGCTAAGACAGGATGATCACAAGATAAAGGTCAGCCTCAGCAAATTAGGCCCTAAGCAATTTAGTAAGACCTGTCTCAATTAAAAATAAAAAGGGCTATTCAAGGAGGCTGAGTCAGGAGGACTGCGATTCAAAGCCAGTCTCAGCAACTTAGTGAGGCCCTAAGAAATTTAGTAAAACCCTGTCTAGAAAGAAAAAAAATAAAAAGAGCTGGGACATGGCCAGTTGGTTGAGCGCCCCTTGGTTCAATCCCTAGTACCAATAAGTAAGTAAGTAAATAAATAAAAGTAAAAAGGGCTTGGTATGTGGCTCAGTGGTAAAGCACCCTGAATTCAATCCCCAGTACCAAAAAAAAAAATTGCAATTTTGCCCTTTGACACTATCCTTTCTTTATAGATGATTGCCCTGGCTGCCTCTAATTCTTTGTACCACTAGAGACTGCTCTTTGATGGACCCCTAGGAATTGTGCTTTGGGATGTACACCCAGAAGCAAACCAGTGGAGTCAGAGGGTATTGAATCCTTCACTTGGTGAAGGACATCATGTTATTGTTCTAGAGGGACCCTTTCAGTTTACATTCCTATTCCCAGGCCTAAGTTCTTGGTCTCTACTGACCCTCCCTGAGCATTTTCTGTGCCTTTTTTTTTTTTGTACCAGGGATTTTGGGGATTGAACCCAGGAGTGCTTAAACACTGAGCAACATCCGCAGCCCTTTTTAATATTTTATTTAGAGACAGATGCTTAAGGCCCTGCTAAGTTGCTGAGGCTGGCTTTGAACTCTCAATCCTCCTTCCTCAGCCTCCAGAGCTGCTAGGATTACAGATGTGCAACACCTTGCCCAGCATTTTCTAGCTTTCATAGTTTTTTTTTTAAAATATTATTTTTAGTTGAAGATGGACACAATACTTTTATTTTATTTGTTTTTTTTTTTTATTTTTATGTGGTGCCAGGGATTGAACCCAGTGTCTCACGCACTGAGCCACCCAGGCCCCATAGGTTTAACAGTTAAGTAGGTGTTAATTGGTCCCTCAGTTTAACTGACATTTCTCTGATTATTGAATTCGGTCATCTTTTCATGCCCTTGCTTGGCTTTTGAAGTTTCTCTCTCTTTTTTTTTAGAGAGAGAATTTTTTTAATATTTATTTTTTAGTTTTCGGCGGACACAACATCATTGTTTGTATGTGGTGCTGAGGATCGAACCCGGGCCACACGCATGCCAGGCGAGCGCACTACCGCTTGAGCCACATCCCCAGCCCCTTGAAGTTTCACTTATTTCCTTTCTTTTCTTTTTTTTTAATTAGGGATGGATCTCAGGGCCTCCTGCATGTTAGGTAAGTGCTCTACCACTGAGCTATACCCCCAGGCCATCTTTTTTTTTTTTGGTTTTATCTTCTGTCATATCCCATGATCATTTTTCTTTTGAGATTGCTGTCTTTTATGCTGGGCACAGTGGTGTACATCTGTAATCCCAGTGACTTGGGAGGCTGAGGCAGGAGGATTACAAATTCGAAACCAGCCTCAGCAAGACCCTAAGCAATTTAGTGAGACCCTGTCTTTTTTTAATATTTAGTTTTTTGTTGTAGTTGGACACAATACCTGTTTTGTTTTTATATGGTACTGAGGATCGAACCCAGGGCCTCACACGTGCTAGGTGAGCTCTCTACTCCTGAACCACAACCCCAGCCCCAGACCCTGTCTTAAAATAAAAAAATAAAAAAGGGCTGGGGATGTGACTCAGTGGTTAAGCACCCATAGGTTTAATTCCTAGTATAAAGAAAGACAGAAAAAACAAAAAGGAAAAAATTGATTTTCAAGAATTCCTTGAAATTTTGAAATATGAATATCTCCATAGCTTTATATACTTTTAATATCTTCCATTTTGAAATCTGGTTTAAAAATTTGCCTACAAATTTGCTTTGTTAAGTAGATTTTTTGTGGTGTTTGTGTTTTTGTGTTGCTGGGGATGGAACCCAGGACTTCCTGCATGCTTGGTAAGCACTCTATCAGTGAGCTACATACAGTAAGAATACTAGAAATTATTATTTTTATTTGGACTACTGGGAATTGAACCCAGGGTGCTCTGTCACTGAACTACATCCTCAAGACTTTTCGTTTTTTAAATTTTGCTATGTTGCTGAGACTGGCCCTGAACTTGCAATCCTCCTGCCTCTGCCCCCTGAGTAGCTGGGATTGTACCACTACACCTCGGCACTTCTAACATTTTCTTGAAGACTTGCTTCCTCTCCGACATTATATTTTCCTACATTTCTTTCAATCAATTTCATCTTTGTCATTTAGGTCTTCAATCCATTCAGAATCTACTGTGTTTGGTGGTATAATGTATGAACCTAGTATTTTATTTCAGTTCATGCCACTTTCCCACACCATCTACTGAAAAGTATATGCTTTACTCATTGATCTGTGCTGTCATTTATGCACATTTGGCTTCAGTCCATGCAGGGGTCTTTCACTGACCTCCCTACTCTTTCACTGGCCCTTTTCTGTAGCAATACCATGCTGCTTTTATTATCTTGTGTGACATTGTGAAATAAATATTATAAATATTTAGCCATTTTTAGGCACACACTCCCTGGAATTTCTTTCTTTTGGTGGTGGTTTACTAGGAATCAAACACAGGGACTTCCAGAATTCTAGAAGGCTCTACCACTGAGGTATGCCTTTAACCCTCATTGGAATTTCTTAAGTGATAAGTGCCTTTATATGATAATGAGATGATGGGTACTTAGGGAATCCCAGACAGCCTTAGGGTGGGGGCTTGTTGCCAGGGGATCCAAACTTATTAGAGGGTTAGAACTTTAATCCTGCCCTTGAGCTCCCTCCAGTTTAGGGAGAGGAGCTGAAGGTTTAATTGAACACCAAAGGCTAGTAATTTAATAAATCCTGACTATGTAATGAAGCTTCCATTCAAACTCAGATGTGGGCTGGGGCTGTAGCTCTGTGGCAGAGCACTTGCCTAGCATGTGTGAGGCACTGGGTTCAATCCTTAGCACCATATAAGAACAAACATATATAATAAAGGCACACTGTCCATCTGCAACGACAAAAAAAATTTTAAAAATAACTCAAAAGTACTTGGTCCTGGATGCTTCTCCACAGATGGCAAGTGGACATGTGGGGCTTCAGGAGGGTGACACACCCCTTCTCTCATATTTTATATGCATCTCTATTATCTGGCTGGTTCATCTGAATACTTTATAAAATCCTTGGTAATAAATGATTAAACATAAGTATTTCTCTGAGCTCCTGTGCTGCTCAAGCAAGTTAACTGAACCAAAGGAATGGGTCATGATTCAAATAAAAGGTGGTTTTTAAACAGCACAGATCATAACCTGTTCTTTAGGATCTTAGGTAGCCATCAGTCTTGTGAGACTGAATCCTCAACCTGTGGAATCTAAAGGTATCTACAGTTAGAGTCACAATGAAATTAATCAGAGGACACCCAGCTGGTGTCAATGGCAGAAATGATTGCTTAACAATCCCCACATAAATTGGTGTAAGAGTGTTGTGTTGGCTGCTTGAGAGCAGGAAAAAAACTCGTTTTTCCCCACATCTTGTATCTTTCTTATTTATTTATTTTAATATTTATTTTTTTAGGTGTAGATGGACATAACACAATGCCTTTATTTTTTGTGTGGTGCTAAGGATCAAACCCCGATCCTGCCTGTGCTAGGCAAGCCATAATCCCAGCCCCTCTTATTTATTTATAATTTTGAAGACATTGTCTTTCTATTGCCCATGCTGCTCTTGAACACTTGAGCTAAAGCAATCGTCCTGCATCAGCTTCCCTAGTTACTGGGACTATGGACTACACATCTCTCCTTACCCTGTGTATCATCAGGTTTCAACCAGGGGAGCAGAACCTGTAGGTGTTATATATGAAGAAATTTATTGTTTGCTATTGTTAGTGTAGAAAGTTACTACAATTATTGGCCATTTTGCTAACTTCAATTATTGGCCATCTTGCTAAGGCTTATCAGTTAGCAGTAGTGACTGGGTATCCTTCTTCTTAGTTTTAAAGGATATGGATCTAAAATTCTTCTATGCAGTATGATGCTTGCTGTGTACTTTTGGGCACGTAACATTTTTATTTTCATTTTTTGTTGTTGTTGTACTAGGGATTCAACCAACAGGTGCTCTACAACTGAGCTCATCATCAGCCCATTTATTTTTTTTTTTTAATTTTTTTAAAGAGAGATAATTTTTTAATATTTATTTTTTTAGTTTTTGGCAGACACAACATCTTTGTTTGTATGTGGTGCTGAGGATCGAACCCGGGCTGCACGCATGCCAGGTGAGCGCGCTACCACTTGAGCCACATCCCCAGCCCAATTTTTTTAAATTTTGATACAGGGTCTCACTAAGTTGCCCAGACTGGCCTCAAACTTGTGATCCTCCAGCCTGTACTACCTCTCAAGACAGGGCATGCATGACTTTTGATAAAATTACCCATCACATATTTTACTTTTTCTATGATAACTATATATATGTTTGTGTATACATATATAATTTGTCTTAATTAGTGATTTTCGTTAATTAAAAAATATATGTTCTAGCCAAGTGCAGTGGTATATGGCTGTAATTCCAGAGACTAGGGAGGCTGATGCAGGAGGATTGCAAGTTTGAGGCCAGTCTCAGCAACTTATTGAGGCCCTAGCAACTTAGTGAGATCCTGTCTCAAAATACAAAAATAAGGGCTGGGGTTGTAGCTCAGTGGTAAGACGCTTGCCTAGCATGCATGAAGTATTGGGTTCAATCCCCAGAATCACATAAAAAAACAACTAAATAAACAAAATAAAGGTATTGTGTCCATCTACAACTAAAAACATTTAAAAAAATAAAAAGTGGGCTGGGGTTGTAGCTCAGTGGTAGAGTGCTTGCCTAGCATGTGTGAGTCACTGGGTTTGATCCTCAGCACCACATAAAAATAAATAAAATATCCATTTACAACTAAAAATATTTTTTAAAACAGGGGCTGGGTATGTAGCTTCATAGTAGAGCACCCCTGGGTTAAATTTCCAGTACAAAACAAAAAAGCTATGGTCTATTTTATAAATTTTAAAATTTATTAACCTCTAAAGTTCTTCAGTATACCTACTAATCACAATCTCTTCTTTAACATTGAGCCATATCCTCAGTCCTTTTTGTTTTTTATTTTGAGACAAGGTCTAGCTAATTTGCTGAGGCTGGTTACAGAGTTGCAATGCTCCTGCCTTAGCCTCCCAAATCCCTGTGATTACTGGTGTGCACCAATAGCGCCCACCTAATCATTATCTATTCTTTCCTAAGAACAAGAAGAAATTCTTTAACAGTAGAGCCAGGAAGAGGACTGTAATCAGCAGCTGCTATAATCGCTCACAATGAGTCCACCTTCTGACAATCACAACCCTGTGGAATTTCCTCCCCTTCAGTGTAGGCTGAACCTAGTGACGAACTTTTAATCAATGGAATGTGGTAAAAGTTACAGGATGTCACTTCCATGATTAGATTTCAAAATACTGGCTTGTGATATGTTAGTGTTCTCTCCCTGTTGCTGCCATTCTCTGCCCACCCCTCTTTTTTGAACCAGGGATTTAACCCAGGGGCATTTAACCACTGAGGCATATCCCTAGCATTTTTTTAAAATATATTTATTTATTTATTAATTTTTTAGGTGGACACAATATCTATATTTTATTTTTATGTGGTGCTGAGAATCAAACCCAGTGCCTAATGCATGCTAGGTGAGCGCTCTACCACTTGAGCCACATCCCCAGCCCCTCCCCAGCATTTTTAAAACAAAAATTTTATTTTGAGACAGGGTCTTACTAAATTGCTGAGGGCCTCACTAAATTGCCAGGTCTGGCTTTGAACTCATGATCCTCTTGCCCCAGCTGCCCAAGCCACTGGGATTATAGGCATGCACCACCACTCCCAGCCTCTCTGGCCCTCTTGTTGGCTTTTTCTGATGACACTAACTGCCATGCTATGACTGACCCATGGTGAGGCCCATGTGTCAAGGAACAGAGTCCCTTGGTCCAGCAATCCTGTGAGTCAGCTTGGATCTGTATCCTTTTTTTTATTATTGTTCAAAACATTACAAAGCTCTTGACATATCATATTTCATACATTTGATTCAAGTGGATTATGAACTCCCATTTTTACCCCGTATACAGATTGCAGAATCACATCGGTTACACATCTACTTTTTTACATACCGCAATACTAGTGTATGTTGTATTTTGCTGCCCTTCCTATCCTCTACTATCCCCCTGGATCTGTATCTTTTGCCAGTAAAGTCTTCAGATGATATCAAAGCCCCAGCTGGCACCTTCCTGACCACCTTGTGTGAGATCCAGAGCCAGAGGACCCAGTTAATCTCTGGCCAGACTCCTTAGGCATAGAAACTATAGTTTTTGTTTAAAGTTTTAGTTTTTGTACTGGGGATTGAACCCAAGGGGTGCTTAGCCACTGAGCCACATCCCCAGCCCTTTTTAATATTTTATCTAGAGATAGGGTCTTGCTGAGTTGCTTAGGGCCTCATTAATTTGCTGAGCCTGGCTTTGAACTCATGACCCTCCTGCTTCAGCCTTTTTAGCTGCTGGGATTACAGACAAGGATCACTGCACCCAGCTATCAGGAACTGTAGACAATAAATGTGAGTTGTTTAAAGCTGCTTAGTTCTGGAGTAATTTATTATATAGTAAAGAGAACTAATGGAAAGACTTCTGTGAATACTCTATCACTTTCACACTGGGCATGTTATTTCATCTGCAAGGTTCAGTTTTCTCATTTGTAAAACCAAGCTAACAATATCTACATTGCATATGAGCTTTTAGGACTGTTAGTAAGATCTATAAAGGCACAACACATAGTAGGTCTTCATCTTTATGACTTCCATTCTTATAAATCTGACACTTGTTCCAATTGCAGTGCAACCAATTATAGAATACAGATTTCTTCACCACTGAAACTGCTTTATCATGAAAATTTCACTCAATTTGTTGTGTAATAGAACAGGCAGCCTTCTACATCCATTGGTTCCACAAAAATGGATTCAACCAATTATAGGCTGAAAATGTGTTTGTATTTTGTGGTGTTGGGGATTGAACCCAGGATCTCACACATGCCAGGCAGGCATACTTCCGTTAAGCCACATCCCTAGTCCCTGAACAGGTTTTTTTTTTTTTTTTAATGCATTTGTGTTGGTGTGTTGGTGCACACTTATACCAGCAATCCAGGAGGATCACACATTTAAAAACCAGCTTTAGCAATTTAACAAGCTCCTGAGCAACTTGGTGAGACCCTGTCTTAAAAGAAAAAAAATTTTAAAAAGAGCTGGGGATATGGCTTAGTGGTTGAGCTACCCTGGGTTCTATCCCTGAAATGAATGAATGAATGAATGAATGAATAAAACCCTGCATTTGTGCTGAACATGAACAGATTTTTTTATAATTTATTTCCTAAATAATGTAGTATAGTAACTATTTACATAATATTGTTATTTAAACTTTACAGGAGGCTATGGATAGGTTATATGACAATATTATACTGTTTTCTTGGAAAAGGTGATTAATACCTATAATTCCAGCAATTTGGGAGTCTGAGGCAGGAAGATTGCAAGTTAAAGGCCAGCCTGGGAACCCTACTAAGACCCTGTCTCAAAATAAGAAATAAAGAGGGCTGAGATTGTACTTCAGTGATAAAGTGGTAAAGCATGCCTGGGTTTGATCCCCAGTACTGAAAAAAAAAAATAAAGAAACTCCAAATACTATGCCTTTTTTTAAAGCAACTTGAGCTCTGCAGATTTTGGTATCAGTGGGGGTTCCTGCAACCAATCCTCCTTGAATGCTGAGGGATAATTATTTATAATGTACCTCAAAATGTATTACCTTTCAAATTAACATCTCCATTTTGAAGCCAGGCACAGTGGTGCACACAAGTAATCCCAGTAACTCAGGAGGCTGAGGTAGGAAGATTGAAAATTTAAGGTTAGCTCCAGCAATTTAGCAAAGCCCTAAGCAATTTAGTGAGACTCTGTCTCAAAATAAAATGGTTTGGGATATAGTTCAGTGACAAATTGCCCCTGGGTTATATCCCCAGTATGAAGAAAAAAAACAAAAACCTTCATTTTTCCAATTCAGTGCAACACACACACTCAAATTTTGTGTGGGCCACAATTAACTATGTTACAGGAGATCATGAATTAGGCCTGGATACTGTAACCAATGTTTCCCATTCAACATCAGATCATGCCATAAAAAGTTTTCTTTTTCTTTTTTGAGGTGCTGGGGATCAAACTCAGATTCTCCCACATACCAGCCAAGTGCTCTATCACTGAGCTACATCCCCAACCCCAATAAAATCTTGTTTCCTCAGAGAAAAAAGACAGTCAAAACAAAAATAAAAAATAAAAAGCCAGGCATAGTAGCACATACCTGTAATCCCAGTGGCTCAGGAGGGTGAGGCAGGAGTTCAGTGAGTTTAAAGCCAGCCTCAGCAACTTAGCAAGGCCATAAGCAATTTAGAGAGACCCTGTCTCTAAATAAAATATTTTAAAAAGGGCTGGGGATGTGGCTAAGTGGTTGAAGGGACGTCCTGGGTTCAATCCCAGTATCAAAAAATAAAAATACCTATAAATAATAAAAATAGAATAAAAACCAAAAAAGAAAACAAAGGATCTTTGTAGTTGCTATGTAAATGGACCTCTATATTTTGGATTTTTTTTTTTTTTTTTGTACTGGGAGATTGAACCCAGGGACACTTTATCACTGAGCTTTATGTCCAGCTCTTTTTAATTTTACTTTGAGACAGGGTCTCGCTAAGTTATTTAGAGCCTCACTAAATTGTTGAGGCTGGCCTAAAATTGTCAATCCTCCTGTTCCAGCCTCTGGAGCCACCAGGATTACAGGTGTGTGTTACCAAGCCTGCTAATAGTTTGGATCTTGAATATCTCTCAAAGCCCATTTGTTAAAGGCTTGGTCCCCAGGGTGGTGCTATTGGGAGGGATGGAATTTATGAGAGGTGGAATCTTGGTCTTTTGGCCATTGGTGGTGTGACCCCAACAGAGATTAGGGAACACCCCTTCCTCTTTTTCTCTTCCTGAGCATGAGGTGAGCTGGTGTGGTCTGCCATGTGCTCTTCACCATTTACATCCTGCACCCCCACTGGAGGCCTAATAGCAATGGGTCTGCCTGATCTAGATTGGAATCTCTGAAACTAAGCTAAAATAAACCTGTTCTTTTTATAAATTGATAATCTCGTATATCTCGTTATACAGACGAAACCCTCTCCGAAGAGCAGTTGCCCACACCTGATAGGGCAAGAGAATGTGGGGACATCTTCCTTACTAGATCCTCATGGATACATGGCTCAAGTCTGGCTTTTTCCTGTACGAAATCTCCCTATAATTTTTATGTTTGCTCATGAAACTTGCATTCACGCTGAGAATCTTTATGCATAGACTCACAGACAAACCTAGGAAATAGAAAACAAATGCCTGCCAATGATCATCAAGAATGAACACAAAACGGGCGCGCACACCCCCACGGAGGGGATGGGGGGCAGGGAGGAGAATATAAAACGAGAGGCGGGGCGCGCACCGCGGCAGAAGGAGCGAAGCTCTGGCCCAGCGAGGAGTGGGCGAGTACCGGGACGCGGGTCCAGGACGCGGGTCCTGGGCATCAGGCTGTGTGAAGTCAGCGCGCTCACCTAAGCGCTCACCTAACCGTGATCCTCGCCACCCCGAGCCAGGAACAGCGATCTCCTAAGGCCCGCCTGAGGCCTCCGTTCCCCGTCCAACGGCAGCGACGACGTCTTGCACCCTGCCAGCTCGGCGCTCCCGACCCTCGACCCTCTCGTGCCCCCGCCCTGCCTCCGCTTCTCCGCGGATGCAGCCCGAACAAGACCACTCAAGGTGAAGGATAATCTATAATACCAGCACTTTGAATGAGAATTTGTTTCTCTGCCACAAACTGAACTTTTCTTTTCTTTTTTTCTTACTTTCTTTTTTTTTTTTCTTTTGGTGAAGGAGTTGAAACAAACCTAACTTTGTGGCATAGCAGCTATGCAGCTTGAAATCCAAGTAGCACTGAATTTTATTATTTCATATTTGTACAATAAGCTTCCCAGGAGACGTGTCAACATTTTTGGTGAAGAGCTTGAAAGACTTCTTAAGAAGAAATATGAAGGGCACTGGTATCCTGAAAAGCCTTACAAAGGATCAGGGTTTAGATGTATACATGTAGGGGAGAAAGTGGATCCAGTGATTGAACAAGCATCCAAAGAGAGTGGTTTGGACATTGCCGATGTTCGTAGCAATCTGCCAGAGGATCTTAGTGTTTGGATCGACCCATTTGAGGTTTCCTACCAAATTGGTGAAAAGGGACCAGTGAAGGTGCTTTATGTGGATGATAATAATGAAAATGGATGTGAGTTGGATAAGGAAATAAAAAACAGCTTTAACCCAGAGGCCCAGGTTTTTATGCCCTTAAGTGACCCAGCCTCTTCAGTGTCCAGCTCTCCATCGCCTCCCTTTGGACACTCTGCTGCTGTAAGCCCTACCTTCATGCCCTGGTCCACTCAGCCTTTAACCTTTACCACTGCCACTTTTGCTGCCACCAAGTTCGGCTCTACCAAAATGAAGAATAGTGGCCGGAGCAACAAGGTTGCGCGTACTTCTGCTATCAACCTCGGCCTGAATGTGAATGACCTCTTGAAGCAGAAAGCCATCTCTTCCTCAATGCACTCTCTGTACGGGCTGGGCCTGGGTAGCCAGCAGCAGCCACAGCAGCAGCAGCAGCCATCCCAGCCGCTGCCGCCACCACAGCAACAGCAACAGCAGAAAACCTCTGCTCTTTCTCCTAATGCCAAGGAATTTATTTTTCCTAATATTCAGGGTCAAGGTGGCAGTACTAATGGAATGTTCCCAGGTGACAGCCCCCTTAACTTCAGTACAGTAATGCCTTTGATGTACTTGAGGCCTATGGTGACCTCAACGAGAAGTCTTTTGTAGGTGGCTTGAATTTTAGCTTAAATAACGTACAGTATTCTAACCAGCAATTCCAGCCTGTTATGGCTAACTAAGAAAACAAAAAAGTGTGTCGTACCAGTTAAAATGCACGGGCGCAAGAAGACTTTTTTTGCACCTCCTTGAGATTTTTTTTAAGCTTATAGTAAGGATACATTCAGGCTTGGTTACAAAAATAAAACATGAATCGTTTTTCATTTGTCAACCAAGCACAAAGTTATTTTATACTGACTGTATATTTTAAAGTATACTCTCAGATATGGCCTCTTACAATATGTAAGATATAGCAAGGACATGGCTGATTTTTTTTATAAAAAATTACCACTAATAAGTGGGTTTATTGGTCTTTTCTAATTGTACAATTTAATTTAGTACAAAATTTGTAAAATATCAGAGGAGATATATATATATATATATATATATATATCTTGTTTCTATGACATGGTATTGCATTTATATCTTTTTACTTCAGTGATCTGGGACAACAGCAGCTTCATGTTGTATTATTTTTTTTTACTGAAATTGTAAAATATCCATCTTAAAGATATCAACTATTCTAAAAATTATGTACAAGATATTCCTTTAATGGCAGAATTAAAGTGTACAAATATTTGCTTTTTCAAAAAATGTATTTTCTGTTAAAGGTCTAAAGATTTTTGCTATATATTATGGAAGAAAATATAATCGTAAATATTAATTTTGTACGTATATTGTGCAATACTTGAAAAAATGGTATAAAAGTATTTTGAGTCAGTGTCATACATGTTAAGAGGGACTGAAATAGTTTATATTAAGTTTGTTTTAAAATAAAAAAAAAATTAAAAACGATTAGTCTTAATTAAAAACTATTAGTCATAGGTTATTTTCTAAATGTATATTTTCTTGGTATTGGTAGACAGACCTGCTGGCACCCAGAAGCACTCTATCACTTAGCTACATACCCAGCCTTTTCATTTTTTTTGAGATAGGATCTCACTAAGTTGTACTGCTGAGATTGGAATGGGTTTCCCCCCAAAGTGTGTGTTTGAAAATTAATCCCCAAAGAAACAGTGTTGGAAGATGGGACCTCACATTAAGCCATGAGGGTGATGTGAATGGATTAATGTGTTATGGAAGGAATGGGTTCTTTACCATTGGAGTGGGTATCCTAGAAAAGGATGTATTCAACTCCTCTTTCTCACTCCCTTACTTTCTTTTTTGCTCTTCCATTATGGTATGATGCAGCAAGGCCCTCACCAGCTATCAGCACCTTAATACTGGACTTTCCAGCCTCCAAAACTGTGAGTCAATAAATTTTTGCTCATTATAAATTACCCAGTCTCAGATTCAGGAGCCCTGGCACACACCAGCTCAGGTGGCTGAGGAAGGTGGATCACATGTTCAAGTTCAGCCTGGGCAACCTAGTGACACCCTCACTGAAAAAAAAAATTAAGAAGCACTAGGGATGTAGCTAAGTAGTAGCGTACCCTTGGGGTTAATTCCCAGCACTGCAATAAAGTGTAGAATACTTTCAGTAATTGACCTAGCCTCAGGTATTTTGTTACAGAAGTTCATAATGGACAAGACAATCACATACATATTGTACAATTTTCTCCATCTCACCCAGGCACTGTGGAGGAAATAGAGAAGTATGAGTCATTATTCTGTCCTACAACTACTCTGCACCTCCTTGGAGAGCATAGCACTTTTACTGTACATGAAAGAGATTAGCAGAAGCAGAGGCAAGGACAGGGGCTCAAAGTCTTGAGGATAAAGAATGCATGACTGAGGGAAGCTCAATGGAGGACCAGGATCCAGGAGGTGAGAGCAGGGAAAAGGGGACAAGTAGTGTCCAAGGGTCCTGTAATTCCCAACAAATGACTAATCACTTGTAATAATAAGCACATGTAAATAACTAATTTCTTGAGGTGGAAGTATTTGTATGTATCCTACTTATTAGCATTTGACCTCTAAGGTAACAGGTCAGACTCTTCCATGTATAATCTGTATTAATGTGATTGTTATTATATTGAAATTGAGAAACTAAATTGGAATAATCAAACTTTACTTCCTCCTCAATGACATCATTTGATTTTCTTCCTTCAGCTCCCTCTCCTTACTGCCTGTGCTAGTCTATTGGGGCTGCCATATCAGAATAACACAGACCAGGTGGCCTGTAACTAATAATAGTGGTCAGGCATGGTGGGGCATGCCTATAATCTCAGCTACCAGGGAGTCCAAGGCAGGAGGATTGCAAGTTTGAGGCCAGTCTGGGTAACTTTGCAAGAACTTGTCTCAAAATTTAAAAATGGGGGAAAAATAAAAAGTGGTAAAGTGGCCCTGAGTTCAATTCCCCAGTATTGCAAAAATGAAAGAAAGTAAAGGGTTTGGGGATGTAGATTAGTGTGGTCTAGTGCCCCTGGATTCAATCCCCAGTATCAGAGGACAAAGAAAAGCAGAAATATGTTTCTCACAGTTCTGGAGGCTGAGAAATCCAAGATCCAGGCATTGGCAGGGTCTGGCAGATTTCTTATGAGGGCCTTTTCCTGATTCATACATGTGCTTTCTTTCTGTATTATCACAAGATAGATTGGCAAGAAAGGTCTTTTATAAGGGCATTAATCCAATGAATGAGGGTTTTGCTTCTCAAATGTACCACCTGCAAATACCATCTGTTGATGATTACATTTCAACATTTGACTTTGGGGGTACACATTCAGACCACATAGCACAGTGCTCTCCTTTTTTTTTTTTTTTAGAGATGCATTTAATTGTTTTCATTTATTTTCTTAAATCATTCATTTTTTTTTAAAGAGAGAGAGAGAGAGAATTTTTTTAATATTTATTTTTTTTAGTTTTCGGCAGACATAACATCTTTGTATGTGGTGCTGAGGACCGAACCCGGGCCACACGCATGCCAGGCGATCACGCTACCGTTTCAGCCACATCCCCAGCCCCCACAGTGCTCTCCTGATTCCTAGAGCACTGCCCACCTCCTCACCAGAGCATACTGCCTGATGTTCAAATTTTTTCTAGATGGTCGGTTTAGCATTGCTCCCACAAGGCCCATGCTCATTCATTTTTGTCACTTTTTGTTATGTCCCCTCTCCAGGAAGAACAGCATAGACCTGGACTTATGGAAAGAGGCAAAATGTGTGCTAATGAGCTGGCCATGGTAGCTCACACCTATAATCCCAGAGGCTCAGGAGGATGAGGCAGGAGGATTTCAAGTTCAAAGCCAGCCTCAGCAATTTAATGAGGCCCTAAGGAACTTAGTGAGACCCTATCTCAAAATTAAAAAATAAAAATAAAAAGGGCTGGGATGTGGCTCAGTGGTTAAGTGCCCTGGGTTCAATCCTCAGTACAAAAACAAAATGAAAATCTGTGCTAAGAGAGACTATGGGTGTTTGTAGGAACCTTTGGAATGTATCATGAGCATTTTTTTTTTGCAGTACTGGATATGAAACCCAGTGCCTTGCTTATGCTGGACAAGTGCTGTACCATCATGAGCAATACACCAAGTCCACATACCCAGTCCCATTCACACATTCATTTATTTACTCATTCAACACCTTCTTCTTTCTCCTCTTCCTTTCCTTCCTCCTCCTATTCTGCTTCTTTCTGTTTTGTATTGGGGATTGAACTCAGGGGTGTTTTACCACTGAGATACATCCCCAACCCTTTTTATTTTAATTTTTAAATTTTGAGATGGGGTCTTGCTAAGTTGTTGAGGCTGTTCTTGAACCTGTGATCCTCCTGTCTCAGGTTCCTGAATCACTGGGATAACCAGTGTGCACCTCTGTATCTTGTTTAACTATATTAAATTAAATCCATCTACCTATATTTTTTATTACTTATTTGGTACTGGGATTGAACCCAGGGGTGCTTGACCACAGCTATATTCCCAGTTCATATTCTCTCTCTCTCTCTCTCTCTCTCTCTCTCTCTCTCTCTCTCTCCTGCTTTGCCACTGTGCCACATCCCCAGTCCTTTTTTTTTTTTTAATTTTGAAACAGACTCTCACTAAATTCATGAGGCTGGCCTTGAATTTGGCAATCCTCTCACCCCAGCCTCCCAAATTGTTGGGATTACAGGCATACACCACTGTGCTCAGGCCCAGTTCTTTTAATTTTGAGGCAGTGTTTTGCTAAGTGGCTGATAGGCTCAATAAATTGGTGAGGCTGGTCTTGAACTTGATGGTCTTTCTGCCTCAGTCTTGCAAATTACTGGGATTATAGGCATGAGCCACCATCCCTTTTTTTGGGGGGAGGGCAGCAACCCAGGATTGAACTCAGGGGAACTCAACCACTGAGCCAAATCCCCAGCCCTATTTGAGTTACTTAGTGCCTTGCTGTTGCTGAGGCTGGCTTTGAACTCTTGATCCTCCTGCCTCAGGGACCTGAGACATTGATAATACAGGTGTGCACCACCATGCGCAGCTGGTTTGACTGTATTTTTTTTTTTTTTGAGAGAGAGAGAGAGAGAGAGATTTTAATATTTATTTTCCAGTTTTCGGTGGACACAACATCTTTATTTTTATGTGGTGCTGAGAATTGAACCCAGCGCCCCGCGCATGCCAGGCAAGAGCATTACCGCTTGAGCCACATCCCCAGCCCTTGACTGTATTTTAAAAGACACAATTCCAGCCGGTTGTGGTGCCTCAGGTCTGTAATCCCAGTAGCACAGGAGGCTGAGGCAGGAGGATCGCAAGTTCAAAGCCAGCCTCAGAAATGGTGAGGCACTCAGCAACTAAAGAAAATATAAAGCAGGGCTGGGATGTGCCTCAGTGGTTGAGTGCCCCTGGGTTCAATCCCCAGAACAACAACAACAAGAAAAAAAAAAAAAACAACAACACAATTCCATAGCAGTATCTTTAGAATGAGAAGGGTTATTAACTGAATTGAGTTTAGATTCATTTTGGAGCCAAGTAATAGCAAATGTCTGGTAGCTGGACATGGTGACACACACCTGTAATTTCAGCAATTCAGGAGGCTGAGGCAGGAAGACTATATATTCATGGTCAATTTGGGCAATTTAGTGAGACCTTGTCTCAAAATAGAAAATAATAAGGCCTTAGGGGTGAATCTTATTGGTAGAGTGCCCCTGGGTGCAACCCCCAATATTGTAAAAGAAAAAAAATCAGCTGGTGACCAGTCCATCTTCCTTACTAGACAGAGGCTCTGTAAGGCTGCTGTTCTTCCTATGTTATTTAGCACAGGGCTGAACTCTGTGCCTGGGAATAATTGTCACTCAAGATATTTGTTGATGCCTGGAGTGATGTTGCACATCTGTAATTCCAGTGATGAAGGAGGCTGAAGCAGGAGAATAACAAGTTCAGGACAGTCTCAGCACTTTGGCAAGACTCTGTATCAAAATTAAAATAAAAAGGGCCAGGCATCCCACCTATAATC